CAACCAGGTTTTTAATCTAGGCAGTGCACTAAAATGTCTCTCAGCTTCACAGGAAGAAGCAGGAATAGTTAAAAGGATTCTGACAATTTTTTCTACTTGAGAAAAAAAGCATCTCTCTGGCAGGAATCTTTCGCAAAATATCTACAACCTCTGAGACTGAAGTGTACTTGTAAACATATGATAAGGTGGTTATCTGGGCAGAGAGAAGATGATATTCAATCTTTGGATACTGGAGAAGAACTTCACTAGCTTGTCCTGTCAACAGATAATGTTCTGGTTTTTCATATATAAGTAAGCCTTCTTGGTCAAAGCGCTGTGTAACGGAGCTTCCTCTACCCCGGTTGGGTACCTCCGCCGACGGATGCTCCTAGTGCTTACCAAGGGCTCCAAGCACTCCACTAGACACCAAAACCACCGCAGACCCCACGAACCGATGCAGCTTGGTTGGGGTCTCGCCGTCTTCCACCCACTTTGGACCCAAGACCAGGAGACCTCTCTTAAATCCAAAGAGCAGGAACAGCTCTTACAAGAGCTAGTGGGGAGTATAGTGATTATAGCAATCCCCAGAGTGTTGTTATCCAATCCCCCAAACATGAGCCAAGATTTCATGAAGGGTAAAACAAGTCTGAGGCTTTTTTGGTACAGGTTTGCTTATATACAATTCCTCAGGCCAGAGGCACACCCCCTGGACCGGATGGAACACAGGCACACAAAGAACACAAACCAATCAGAACAATACAACAATGTCCGACACTCCCACTTACAGCACACAATCCCTCCCCTCTGCCTGTGATACAATTAACAAAGACAATGGGCTAACTCAATTAACTCTAAACAGAAAAAACATACATTTTTACAAACCCCACAAAGTACGCCAAAATCCAACATATCCCAACACATCCCCTGATAGCCCCGATCTGGGTGAACAATATATCCAAAAATCACCCAGATCGGTTCAGGGGTTCAGGAATTTCCTGGAAGTCTTATTTTTTCCCCACCGTGCACATGATCGCATGGCCAAAACAGTTCCATACACTCGACGACAAAACACGGCTGGACAATTTAAGCCACATGTTTGAATCTGTTCCAGTTAAAAGTCCAATGGGCAGAAACAGTACTTTTGAACATGGGTTATCACAGGGCCCATGGTCCCAGGGTAGGAGGCTGGCAAACAGGCCCCTCCAAAAACCAGCAGCGAAGTGGATTTTGTCACACGCTGCATTAACTGTGTCAATATAATATCCATTAAAGGACCACTCTAGGCACCCAGACCACTTCAGCTTAATGAAGTGGTCTGGGTGCCAGGTCCTTTTAGGGTTAACCCATTTTTTCATAATTATAGCAGTTTCAGAGAAACTGCTATAATTATGAATGGGTTAAGCCTTCCCCCTAATCCTCTAGTAGCTGTCTCATTGACAGCCACTAGAGGCGCTTGCGTGCTTCTCACTGTGATTTTCACAGTGAGAGCACGTAAGCGTCCATAGGAAAGCATTGTAAATGCTTTCCTATGCGACGGGCTGAATGCGCGCGCAGCTCTTGCCGCGCGTGCGCATTCAGCCCAGGAGGAGGAATGGAGGAGGAGAGAAGGAGGAGAGCTCTCCGCCCAGCGCTGGAAAAAGGTAAGTTTTTACCCCTTTCCCCTTCCAGAGCCGGGCGGGAGGGGGTCCCTGAGGGTGGGGGCACCCTCAGGGCACTATAGTGCCAGGAAAACGAGTATGTTTTCCTGGCACTATAGTGGTCCTTTAATTGGAAACACTGAGAACAATAGTATTCCCTCACAGTCTTAGCATGAAATTGTTCAGTTGGCCCATGTTGAAGACGTTTGGGAATTTTATGTTGCCTTGGTACAGTAACCTCTTTTAGCTGGTATTTTTCCACTAAATGTATACTAGTAGCAAGAACTCTTTCAAAGGACGTGTCACAGCTAACTTTTGTATAGCATGATGGGTCCGTTGAACAGTTGCTAAAAGTCCTCCTGATATGGTTTGTTCTCTGCCTTGGAAGGTTACATTCAGGCATTCTAAGATCTCCATGACTTTAAGAGAGATTTGAAGACCTAAAAGAATTTCCCTTGCCTAAATTGTTGTAGTAGGCCATGTCCACATGAATGTATATCTCCACTACTTCTGGAATTCGCAATTTCTTAAAGTGTTTCCAAAATCAGCTGGTAATTATCCAGAATTTTTTTCACAAACTTCACTCTTAACAGTCCAGCGTGTTGGGCTCAATGGTTTAATATGCAAGACTTTAAGAGGCCCTTCAGCTTCACAAATTCTGAAAATGTGGTTCTGCATTTCATAGATTGCCCAGAGAGTTTGCAAAGATCTTGCACACACATAAGTGCATCTTCCATTATTGGACAGCTATGTGCTGTGGCCTGCATAACTAAATTTGTGCAATGTGCACCGCGATGGACATAAATGGCAAGTGGCTGTTCCTGCTTGATTAATGCCTGGGCACCATGATATTTACCACCATCATATGCACTACGATATTTTCCTCCATCATATGTTTGCCCTCGCAACATTGACATATAAAGCCCTTTACGGCATAAAGCATCCTTGACAATCGTTGCGATTGCAAATCCACTTGTTTCATCAACTTGGTATAAGCCTATAAAGTCCTCATGTGGGTACAAGTCTTGATCAACATAGCAGATACAGAAACTTTCTTGTTCTTGACCTGATATGTCTTGTGTGCCATCAACAATAATTGCAAAGGCATTATTTCCAATCTGTTTCTGAACAAGGCGTAATACGGTGTGAGATAACGTCAAAATCTCATTTTGAATGTCGAGACTCTTGTATTCGGTTTTGTGCGATATCCAATTTTTTAGATAAGGCACATCATCTGCTCGTGCAAGCAGAAACTGTTTAAAATTGCCATCATTGTCCTCATGGCCACAAAGAGGGAGACCTTGTATTGCCAACAGGGCTATTGTTTAGACTATCTTGATGAGACACAGCCATGCATCATTCTGTTGCTGTTGAATTTGTAGTGAAAGCTGAGCATTAATGGGTTGATTTTTACGGATGCTATGAAAGGATCAGTAAAAATCAAACGGTATAGCAGCAGTATTAGAAACGGACACAGCAATGCTATGCCTGTTGATTTAAAAAAAAAATTAAAAAAATTAATTTCTTTATTTTTGTTGTGCAAGCATTAACAACAAGCTTGGATAGCCAAGACAGCTACAACAAGCCCAATGGCAACAGAGTATAACATCAGCATGGCATTTATGGTAGCAGCACAATTTTTGACTGTTGATTTTTTTTAGTGCTGCAATGCCAGTTGATTTTTACTGATGCTATCTGCATAGCATTACAGCAGTAAGAATCAGCAGACACAGTGTTTTTATTTTATTATGTTTTCTACTGAAATGTATTCAGGGGACATAGGAGTTTAAAATAAAATTATATTTAAAAGAATCGGCTCTTTCCTTCCTAGGAATGCAATCAACAGATGACTGAATTAGGCTCCAATAGCCCTCAAACATAGCACAGCTAAGGCACCTCCTGTGGCCTCAAGGGAAGTACTGATAAAATTTGTGCGGGAGTCTGAAAGGGGGCGCTCAGGGGAGAACCTTTTGTGTCTTTTGAAGACAATTTTTTTTTTTTTTTTTTTAAACGCTTTCTTTTTCTGATCGGTAATAACAAACAAAAATATGGCACAGCTAAATATGACCATTAAAGGACCACTATAGGCAGCCATACTACTTCAGCTCAATGAAGTGGTCTGGGTGCCAGGTTTCCCTAGTTTTAACCCTGCAGCTGAAAACATAGTTTCAGAGAAACTGCTTTATTTACACTGCAGGGTTAATTCAGCCTCTAGTAAATCGCACTTATTTGACGCTGGACGTCCTCATGGAGTGCAGCGTCAAAAAAGAACCCTATAGGAAAGCATTGAGTAAATCCAACACATTTCTTACCCAGTCTGTGATATCTGGACAGGTCAGCACACACAGCCAGCAGCTTTGCCCAGTTCCTCCCTGCCACTACTCCACAATTACAGACATTTGCCTCCTCGTCCTTCTGCACCACATTCCGCCTGTGCCGCAGTGGAACCGGAAGGAGACCCCGGAGTGCTGATTAAAGTAGGAACCAGGGGGGTGGGGGTGGACACATCACCCCCGGAAATCATGCAGGGGGGACAGGTATGGAGAAATCCCCCCCAGGTTAGGAGTGCCGATTACGATGTAAAATGTTGTTGCATTCGGCTTCCGAACAACACTAGTGTTTGGCATTTGAATGCATCCTTCATGTAGCTGTTATTAACAGCAACACTGAGTGCTTTCGAATGCCGAACACCAGTGTTTTTTCGGAAACTTAATTCACAGAAATTTTACAGCGTAATCAGCACTCCTAACCTGGGGGGGGGGATTTCTCCATATCTGTCCCCACACCCCGGTTTCTACACTTGTGGGTGTGGCTAGGGTTGCATAAGCAGAAACAAAAGGGATTTAACTCCTAAATGGCAGAGAATTAAGCAGTGAGACTGCAGGGCCATGATCTATACACCAAAACTGCTTAATTAAGCTAAGGTTGTTTTGATGCCTATATTGTCCCTTTAAGTATATATATTTTTAAATGGTGAATTTCAAAATAAATGAGAAAAAAAAATAAAAACAGGTAAATGGGACTAAAATAATAATAATAAAAAAATAAATAAAAAAAACCTGAAGAGTGTATTAAAATCAATATGCTAAGACAAAAGAAATAAAAATGTACTCACATTCAGGCATTCCCTGCACAACAGATTGTGCAGGATTTACAATGCTCACAAAACTAGGAAGTGACTGAGGTTTCCTTTGGAGTTTTTGCCATAAGCAGTGGTTCTGCAGTTATATGCATAATATATATATATATATATATATATATATATATATATATATATATATATATATATATATATATATATATATATATATATATATATATATATATTTTATTTATTTTTTTTAAGAATATTAATATGTAAAGAAAATACACAATGCACATAAACCAAAAAAAACTGTATAAAATTTATATTTTAGAACAATTGTACACATTAAATAATTTTGTGGATGGAGGAAGTTGGCAAAAGCCCAGCAGTAAGAAACATACAAACCAAACTACAAAAAAAATCATGTTTACAATCCAATCCATATTTACATAGTTTACAATAACACATTAAATTTAACAATCCTTCACTGTTGTAAATACAGCACTGTTGATAGAAAAGTAAGATTCACTTAACTTTTTTGTTTATTTTACACTTCTATGGTTTGAAAAGGCATCACAGCCATTGCTTGTAATATACACCTGGTTACTTGGAACACCATAGGAATGCTGACATTTAGTATTCCTAAAGGGTGTCATATTCTTATATGGAACTCTGATACGTGATCCTTTTCTTAATGTTTGGGAATCGGCAGTGCCAGTATACTAGCTTTTTCAAAATAATATTATGCACAATAATATTTTGATTCAAATAAATATGCAGTACTTGTTACTTCTAAATGTAGCAAAATGTGTGCAATAGGTGAGGTCAATTAAACACAGCACATTTCAATCGCCAAGATTCGCTCAGTCCTCTTTTTCCTGTTTGGTATGAAATCCTGTAGATTGCATTGAGATTCAGTAGTCAAAATTCTCAACAAAAAAAAAAAAGAAGCTTTTATCGCCACCTGCAGCTAGTTCAAGGCATAGCTATAGCACGGCTGTTTATTAAAATAAAAAGATTGCAAAGTTCACTAAGGCACAATCCTCTGTACTGTTCTTGTTCAGTTAATCTAATGCTTATCCAGGATAAAGGATGAAATAAATAGCTATTCTTTAAACTCCTGTAACGCTCATGTTAATTATTTCAATTATAGTGCTTTCAATACGTTGGCATAGCTGCACATCTGGATCCAAACTGTCTGTGTCCTTTACAGCAACAACTGGCAACAATGAAAGTTTGTAAGTATCAGTCCATTCCTTGGGCTTCTCTTTCAGCTGCTGGAGACCTATTTTGATTGCAAAAAAAATCATTTGTAAAATTTAAAAAGGAAATTACATACAATATTTTACTTACCATCTGATTTTATAACCTTGGCCAAATGTGGTTACTTCCAAGTACAAAATATTTGGAGAGAGAGTGTAAAAAGACTTTAAAATACCGCTACTTACGTGTAATGATTGGGTCTACATCCCTCGTCTGAGTAGCTACATTTGATGCACACACTTGACCAATCTGAATGAGTAGTGACATGATATCCTGGTATAACGGAGGAAAAGCTTGGCAGAAGGATATCAAACAAGGCAGCGTTGGCATAAAAAATACATAACGTTTGGCTTGTGTAAGAACTGAAAAGATAAGAAAATAAGAAGAAAAAAAAAAATCAAATAATTTCCGTCATGTACTAAAACTAACACCAGATCACAGAGGTTGTGGTGATCGTGAGGTTAATGCTGTTATTGCCAAGGCAGACCAAATCCGATCCGCCTCCCTCCACTTTGTTGTGCGTTTTAAAGTGGAGAGAAACTAATTGGTGGGCTACTTTGTGTCCCTGTGTGAAGAAAAAAGATTTAAAGTATCCAGATCCCATTTAGGTCTATTCTTTAAAAAATAAATAATAATCCTTTCCCTGTCCTTTGATCATGGAAAACATTTGTTATTTAAAGTTAAGCTGGTCAAACCATATATTAATTCTGTTTTATGACAGGAGGAGGACCAGTAGAAAATGTGCTTGCTGCCCAGTCACTCCACCCACTCAAGCAGACAAACACCGAATCATGCAAACTGGCACAAATGCACTGACCCATGCAGACTGATGCACACACACACTGACCCTGTAGACTGATGTACACACACATTGCACACTGACCAATGCATACACACACACACGGACCCATCCAGACACACACACACACACACACACACACACTGGCCCATCCAGAAACAGAAACACACACTGACCCATGCAGAAACAGAAACACACACTGACCCATGCAGAAACACACACACTGACCCATGCAGGCAAACACATACAGTCAGGTCCATAAATATTGGGACATCAACACAATTCTAATATTTTTGACTCTATACACCACCACAATGCATTTGAAATGAAATGAACAAGATGTGCTTTAACTGCAGACTTTCAGCTTTAATTTGAGGGTATTTACATCCAAATCAGGTGAACGGTGTAGGAATTATAACAGTTTATATATGTGCCTCCCACTTTTCAAGGGACCAAAAGTAATGGGACAATTGGCTGCTGAGCTGTTCCATGGCCAGGTGTGTGTTATTCCCTCATTATCCCATTTACAAGGAGCAGATAAAAGGTCCAGAGTTCATTTCAAGTGTGCTATTTGCATTTGAAATCTGTTGCGGTCAACTCTCAATATGAGATCCAAAGAGCTATCACTATCAGTGAAGCAAGCCATTTTTAGGCTGAAAAAAACAAACCCATCAGAGAGATAGCAAAAACATTAGGTGTGGCCAAATCAACTGTTTGGAACATCCTTAAAAAGAAAGAACGCACCGGTGAGCTCAGCAACACCAAAGGACCCGGAAGACCACGGAAAACAATTGTGGTGGATGACCGAAGAATTCTTTCCCTGGTGAAGAAAACACCCTTCACAACAGTTGGCCAGATCAAGAACACTCTCCAGGAGGTAGGTGTATGTGTGTCAAAGTCAACAATCAAGAGAAGACTTCACCAGAGTGAATACAGAGGGTTCACCACAAGATGTAAACCATTGGTGAGCCTCAAAAACAGGAAGGCCAGATTAGAGTTTGCCAAACAACATCTAAAAAAGCCTTCACAGTTCTGGAACAACATCCTATGGACAGATGAGACCAAGTTCAACTTGTACCAGAGTATGGAGAAGGAAAGGAACTTGTCATGATCCAAAGCATACCACCTCATCAGTGAAGCATTGTGGTGGTAGTGTCATGGCTTGGGCATGTATGGCTGCCAATGGAACTGGTTCTCTTGTATTTATTGATGATGTGACTGCTGACAAAAGCAGCAGGATGAATTCTGAAGTGTTTCGGGCAATATTATCTGCTCATATTCAGCCAAATGCTTCAGAACTCATTGGACGGCGCTTCACAGTGCAGATGGACAATGACCCGAAGCATACTGCAAAAGCAACCAAAGAGTTTTTTAAGGGAAATGGCCAAGTCAATCACCTGACCTTAATCCGACTGAGCATGCATTTCACTTGATGAAGACAAAACTGGGAAAATGCCCCAAGAACAAGCAGGAACTGAAGACAGTTGCAGTACAGGCCTGGCAGAGCATCACCAGGGATGAAACCCAGCGTCTGGTGAGGTCTATGCGTTCCAGACTTCAGGCTGTAATTGACTGCAAAGGATTTGCAACCATGTATTAAAAAGTGAAAGTTTGATTTATGACTGTTAATCTGTCCCATTACTTTTGGTCCCTTAAAAAGTGGGTTGCACATATAGAAACTGTTGTAATTCCTACACCGTTCACCTGATTTGGATGTAAATACCCTCAAATTAAAGCTGAAAGTCTGCAGTTAAAGCACATCTTGTTTGTTTCATTTCAAACCCATTGTGTTGGGTGTTTAGAGCCAAAAAGATTAGAATTGTGTCGATGTCCCAATATTTATGGACCTGACTGTATACAGAAACACACACCAACACTGGTCCATGTAGACAAACACACACTCACCCACGCATAAAGACACACACTAACCCATGCAGACAGAAATACACTGATCCAAGCAGACACACACTGATCCAAGCACACATTCTCTGAAACACAGACAGCAAGGACCCATTAACCCTCTTAACTTCATTTTGCATATCAGTTTGTGTGTTTTAGGCACATTTCTGTGCCTGGTGGCGCTTCAGTCTTCCAGTCTGAGACTCTCTTCCTGCTATCCTTCCGCCCACTTGTCCCCACGTATAGGGCAAGGGGCAGGAGTGAGCAAATAATGTGCCCTTGCACTGCCACCGCTGTAGATGTTGGGGGGTGGGAGCCCCTAGCTTTGCAGACTGAGGTGGATGCCGGTGTTCTACCAGGCGCTCGTCAGCAGCCATGTAAGTGCTCTCTAGAACCCGATAACATGGCCGGAGGCACGCGCTAAATAATTATTCCAGCTTGAAAGATGGGCGGCTCAAACCGGCCCTGTACAGGAGTCACAAAAGTTCACATCGGGTCCTACAGGCAATAAACCACTTTCAAGGCCTCTGTCAATGTAAATGAAAGTTTTTGATTTCGGTTTGTTCCAGTTAAGGATGACAGCCTCTAAGACGACGTGTAAGCAGAATTCGGAAGGTCACATATACTGAAGAGCCTGAAAGTCTGAGCCTGCTAATAATAGGCTCAGCACCATGTGAGTTTGACCAATTGGTTTTTTTAAAGATTGTATATTCGGTTACATTTTACGCTATGATCTGTATTCTTTATTTTATTACAGATATCTAGCCATGGATTTTATGTGTACAGAAGCCTGAAGTGGAAACAGAACACCGATTTATGTGTGTGCTCTCACCTACATTCATGTATGTGCTTCTTGGTTCGTCTTGTTATAAGTACATCATTTATCTGGAATATACAGTGTTTGATAATGGAAATTGTACCTGTGAGCAGTGTTCCCATTACATTAATTGCAAGGCGAGCCATGCTAAGAGATTTTGGCAAGGCATACTGGATGCACAAATACGAGAGAAGTTGAATAGCAAATATCTGTAAAGACAACAATTGCACAAAGAAGATAAATCACACAGAAACAACAGTAAAAGAGGTTCTTGCAAACAGACGTATGGAAAATATTGCATTACTAACTTAAAGGGACACTATAGTCACCAAAACAACTTGAGCTTAATAATGAAGTATAGATCATGCAGTCTCACTGCTCAATTCTCTGCCATTTAGGAGTTAAAGCATAAACTTTGTTTATGCAGCCCTAGTAACACCTCCCTGCATGTGACTTACACATCCTTCCGAATCACTTCCTGTAAAGAGTCATCTAATGTTTACACTTCCTTTACCGCAAATTCTGTTTAATTTAGTATTTCTTATCTTCTGCTCTGTTAATAGCTTGCTAGACGCTGCAGGAGCTTCCTGTATGTAATTAAAGTTCAATTTGCAGAGCAGGAGATGAAAACGTTTAAAGTAAGTTAAATCTGATTGAAAATGAAACCATTTTGTTTTCATGCAGACTGTGTCATTCACAACCAGAGGAGGTGTGGCTAGGGCTTCATGGACAGAAACAAAAGTGATTTAACTCCTAAATGGCAGAGAATTAAGCAGTAAGCCTGCAGGGGCATGATCTATACACCAAAACAGCTTTGTTAAGCTTTAGTTGTTTTGGCGACTATAGTGTCCCTCTAATGTTTTCTAACGAATAGGAAGGAAATTACCTGCTTCTCCAGTTCAGGCTGAGCTATGAGTTCTGGAATAAAATCCAAACATATGTGCATTGATGGTATTCCAGCAACTGTGAGTGGCAATAGTTGACATGGATATCCCTGTGACCATAAAAAAATAAAAATAAAAATATATATATATATATAAAATAAAATATATAGACATTTATTGCTAAACACCATTACTTCTCAGAGTTATTTATTAAAGGACCACTAAAGTCACCCAGACTACTTTATCTCAATGAATGATGGAGTGGTCCTGTCACTTTAATCCTTCAAGGTAAAACTTTGCCATTTTTAAGAAAAGGCAGTGTTTACCTCACTTCATTGAGTGAGTAAAACTTGGTCATGTGATGCAACACCTAATAGAAAAGCACTTGATTTAATGCTTTCTATGAGAAGCATTGGATGCATGTATGGCACTAGCACATCACATTCCCAATATTCCTCTGTGAGGAGCATTGGATTGGGCCATCACCAGAGAAACTGATGTTCCTCAAGAATGTTGGAAGTTGCTGGAAGTAAAGAGGTGAGCAGCTCCAAGAGAGTCTCTGTGATGGAAACAGGTGAGTAAAACCTTTATTTTATTAAAGGACAGTTGCCACCTCAACACAATTCTTGAACATAAATTAATTTATCCATCAAGGAAATGGATTCTTTGTTAAATGAGGTATATGTAAAAAAATAAATAAAAAAGCAACACAAATTCACCCTGGGTCACAGCATTTGAAGACTTCTACATCAGGCATGTAAAATTTGCGACCCATTGGTCTGCTTTGTGCTGTGGCAGCCACAAGACAGGAAAGATCTTTCCTGTCTGATCCTTGTCTTCCCTCCCACAATAGCACAGAGTGTCTGTCTGTCTGCAGAGCAGGCCAGCCACTCTACCTTCCCTCTCCGATCTCAGTGCCAGAGGAGCGTCAGGCCTGCTTGAGCAGAGAAAAAAAGGGCTGGAACTGGAGGATGGGCAGCTCATTTTAAAGTAGGAGAAGAGGGGCTTGGGGGATTTTCCTGTGTAGTGTGTTAAATTAGGGAGGGAGATGGAAGTATTAATTTAAGGGAGGGAGGGGGCCAGTGTAATAATTTGAGGGAGGGAGGGAACAGTGTGTTAATTTGTAGGAGGGAGGATGCAGTCTATTAATTTGGAGGTGGGAGGGGGCAAGTGTATTACTGTAGGCCAGACCACTTCAGCTCATTTAAGTGGTCTGGGTGCTGTGTACCTTTTGCACGTAGGGCTGCAATGTAAAAAACATTGCAGTTCCAGATAACTGCAATGTTTACATTGCAGCACAAAGTCTGCCCTCAGTGGTTGTCTACCAGACAGCCACTGGGGGGCGCTTCCGGAATCGTAATGGACTTTTGGTCCGTTATCTAATGCTGGACGTCCTCAGCATCAGATTTTCCCCATAGGAAAGCACGGATACAATGCTTTCCTAAGGGCAGGTGTAAAGCGCGCGCAGCATTTGCCGCACTCGTCGTGGGACAGAGCTTAGACCCAGCACCGAGGGATATCGGCACTAAGATAAGGTAAGTAAATAATGGGGGAGGGGAGGCAGAGGGATGGGTAGTGCCAGGAATACAGCTTTGTATTCCTGGCACTACAGTATTCTTTAAATTGTGGGGAGGGGTGAAGGGGAGGCGGACAGTGTATTAATTTGAGGGAGGAGGCACTGTATTCATTTGGGGGAGGGAGGGGGCAATGTATTATATTGGGTGAGGTAGTGGGCAGTGTATTAGAGTGGTGGGAGGAGGGGGCAATGTGTTAAATTGGGGGAAGGGCATTATTAAGACCTCTATACAACTAGGGACAGGGACACTCTAGTGCTAGGAATACAGGTTTACATTCCTAACACTATAGTGTTTATTTAAGGTATATATTGTCAGGAATTCTATATAAATCAACTGTAATACAAAACATTACATATACAAAACATTAAATAACAATGGCCATAAGTAGATAATATAACCTTTATTGATATTAAGGTATTTCTATTTTACCTTAAAAAGGGAATGGGAAACATTTCCCATTTAATATTGTATACAATTATCCTCATATTTAACAAACATGTATTTGTGATGTATAGACATAATAAATACATAAATAGATGTAGAAATCCATGTCTATTTATCCTGCAACATTGCACCTCCATCTTAGGTCTCTGTCAATGATTTTTTGTAAGCTCTATCCCTTGCATCTGCTAGTTACCACAGAGAAAATATAGCGTTGAGTTGAGAAATAAAACAGTAGAGGAGATTCGTCAAAGTGCTCTGTTCTAAAAAATGATCTTAGATACTAAAATAGGGGCAATCTCAATGGAAATCAGTGAATCAAGCAGGTACATTTCACTTATGACTCTTCCCCTTTTACAATTTTTGCATCACTTTTCAGATAAATCTTTTGCTAAATCTTTAACAATTTTAAAATAAAAAAGGTAAGCAAGTTATGGGTGATTTTTGTATTTTTATTCAATAGTGTAATTTCCACATAAGTAATAGTTCCTCTTTAAATGAATAGGTACAGATTTTACATAATTATATTAAAGACTCACTATAGGACCAGGAACACAAACATGTATTCCTGACCCTATAGTGAAAACCAACCATTTAGGTGACTTGCCACTCCCCTTAGCCCCCGCAGAATGGGTTAAAACACACATTATTTTCAGCTCTCCACGGGTCTGCCGATGCTGGCCCAGCCCACTTGATGACATCATCAAATTTGACGATTTGTAGCCAATCCAATGTTCTCCAATGGGAAAAGCATTGAATTGGCTAAAATTGGCAAGGGGGCGGGGCCAAATGCTGTTTTGGCCAATCAGCACCTCCTCATATAGAAGCACTGAATCAATGCATCTCTATGAGGAAAATTCAGCAGAGCGTAGGGACGCTAAACGGCAGGGCTTACTGCCCAGCCCTGAGCCAGGGGCAATGTAAACACGGACTTTTCTCTGAAAAGGCAGTGTTTACATGAAAATGCCTGAAGGGAGCTATTATACTCACCAGAACAACTACATTAAGCTGTAGTTGTTCTGGTGACTATAGTGTCCCTATAGTCTTATGCTAGAATAAGCATAAAATTACGTTTGTGCTGAAATAAATATTGCATGTAGTTAGGTATAATCTTTCATTTAAAGTGCGCATATTAACAACTCTACTAACCTGAAAATGCACCAGCTTAGCGATGTTGGGGTCTGCAATGAACATTTGATGCAGCAAACAACAGATAAGACACTGCACCTCTCTAAGGTTGCACAACAAATTTTCTTCTTCTTCCAATGGCTGGGAAAGTGTAGGGTCTTGTTTTTTCTCCTCTTCTGTAGGAAGACATATCTCCAGCAATATCTGTACAGCAGCACTATCCTATTATAAAAGAAAGGCATGGAAGCATATTCCCAAATCAGTATCGGTCTCCTGTTACAAAAACATCTACACCATTTAATTTAGAGTAGACTACTACAAATAAGAAGTACAAACAAAAATCCAAAAAAATAAAAAAAAATAAAAAAAAAAATCACACAATATTTGTGTGTACTTAATATGACAGATGGTGCTGCAAAACAATCTGTGCACATGTGCAGTTCACAGCCTTATTAGAATACGGTGTGTAAAGCTACTCACAAAACTAACTGGGATGGGACTGGCATGAGAACAGCAAAATTATTGCTAGCTTATTCAGCAGCTCCATTCCTGACCTGAGATCCCACAGATTAGAGTGAGAAACTCCTGGCTGGTCAAACCTCTTTCTAGTCTAAGAGTTATGTCTGTTGCTGAACATTGGACAATTTAGTGAACAGCATTCCACATTGGGCACATTACTTGATAGAGAGCCGTCTGAAACAACTTCCTCTAAATTTCAGGAAGAGATGCAGGGAACGATCTCAATTAGATCCTTCAATGATAATGACTTTAACCATACATTAAACTAAAACTGCAAGTCTCTTACACCAAAAGGGTAAGTTATTGAAAATATGTTACCTATACACCCATATTAAAGCAACCAGAAGAGAAAAAAATACTCTGTAAAATGACATCCCAGCATTTAGAAAACAGTTATGAAAATGTATTTTCAGAATATATACCTGAGCAGCAAGCAATGCATTTTTCAGTTCTTCTCTAGTAACTTCCATAGTCTCTGACTGTCCTGCCAGGCCTACTGCATTATTCGGTGATGGTTTAATATCCTGATCTGCTGTCTCTTTGAGGTACGAGTTCAAGTAAGCCTTTGATGCCAAAAGATACCCATTCAGCATATGCAGAGTGATATCAATAAGTGGGGGGCACCTAGAGATAAACAGAAAACAAAAAACACCATTATTCATAAAAAATTACAGAGTGGTTTATACAAGATAACTGGACAATTTTAAAGCAAAAAGAAAGTACAGGAATACCAACCTTTGTATTCTAGCATCACATCGTAGTACAATGAGAGGGTCAATCATCAAATCATTCTGTGTGTACTTGTGTTGTCGAACTAACTTTAATGGAGGTTGTAATGCATTCACCGTCATCACCCACAACCTAGTGGAAAGTTAATTATGGTTTACTTGCTTAAACATATATATTCTCGTATTCATACAGCATAGTTAGATTTATATATATATTTCTAAATTACTGTGCATGTAAGGGAAATAATAAAATACGACACCTACAACCAACTAATCTATGTTAGAGTAAGCACAGCACTTACACCATATTCAGCACGCATAATGACAAAATGATCATTCAAAATACATGTCTACACCCACATTACATGCAGCACCCATTAGATAACATGTTGCTTTTAGCAGACAACAAACTAACCTAGCTGCACAAAGCAGCAGTATTGCACTCAGTTAAAAAAAAACTGGCAGACAACACAGTATTAATGGTGAAATTCTGTCAAATATTGTTGACTACTACTAGATAATTATACATCTGTGAGGAGGAGAACTGCTAAAATAATTTGGAAACATGCAAACATAAAAAGTTCACACATGAGAACCAACATTATGTCGGACTCTGCTTTTTCATTCTATATTATTCTAGTAATGTAACAGTTACTGAGAGCACCAATGTGTATAGTATGTATTCAAACATAATATACACACACTATTAATATGAAAAAAATAAAATAAGAAGACGACAACTTTGTTTGGACTAAGAATTAAATTGAATATTCCTTAGATTTCATCATGGAGAATGGGTCTTGAACCAATTCCATTACCTTCTAGGCATTACAGTATTCAATGTCATCCAGAGCTTGTTGATAGTTTGAAGGATCCTTCGTGGGACACCAACATTCAGGAGCTGGCTCATGTTAGCAGTGAGCACCTCAGCATAAGGGATGAGAGCACTGGCACTAAGCAAGGTTAGGTGTTCCAGGATTTGCATTACTTGGGTGTGGTTGCACTGTAGCAATGAGAAAGCTTGAACAGCAAAAACGGAAAAAGTAAGAATACACGGTTATTCTTCTTTAAAAATATAAACTGATGTATAAAGTCACAAATGGATCAGTTTACTAAACACAAAGTCTTCTCTTCCAATAAATAATTCAGACTACCTGATATCTTTAGAGCCCAAAGAGGCAGCAATATTCCATTGTCTGCTCCGCTTCGGTGTACACCTTGAATATCCATACACTTTGATAATTCAACAGTATAATCGGATTCTCTCCTCACTGTCTCAGGATACCATACCAAACATTTATTTTATCAATGATAATCTAGTTTCACGTACCCTGAGCTTTACAATGCAATATTCACTAACTACACATTAAACGGTACACCTCTCTGACCTGGAAGGACTCCTTTCACCATTTCACTTTATTTGTGGCTTTCCTAACATATAAGATATACTGTATGTTATTTGCAGTGATAATGATTGCCAATTTCATAATACTCATTACTGGAATCCATATAAACATATTGGAGTTTAATAGACATTTACTTGTCCTACAAGTATCACTTTATCTCCTACTACAACTAGCAGTTCAACCAAATCATCAGATCACAAAGAGAAATAGTCACCACTATCAGCCTATTTAAATGCAACATATGCTGCATTCCTCCATTAACACTTTTACATAATAATGGTAACACAGAATCTTAATATATGTAATGAATCATATTAAAAAGTATTAAATCTTTTAATTGTTGCCCTGAGAATGAAAACTCCAGAGATTTGGTATTACCAGGGTTTACTGTTTTGTATTTTAATTATTAGAAAGATTTCTACACTAGCACCTCAAAAATAACACTGATGGTTTTAATGTCATACCTTCCTGGAGCTGTTTAGGAGAATGACTTTTTGCAGAACTGGTCAGCAACATTCGTCTTAACAGAGCATCAGTTCCAGTAATCTCTTCTTCGCAGATCCAATCATCCACAATGCAAAGATGAGGGTAATTCGTAGCAAGCAGACGCAGCAAGGCAGAATGTAAACCTGCAAAGGACAATAGCGGAGTTTCTGCTTATTTAATACAACAGATAGAATTAAAATTAAACTTTTGCAAATATGTTATATAATGCAGTCACAAAAAACAAACAGACAGTAAGGTCACTTGCGTTGCTTTACCCCTAACAGATATTTAAAAAAAAAAAACTGTATTCATATATGACACAGAAGCTTAACTCCCACAATGTGCACCCTGCTCTTACAGCTTCCTGTCTTTCCATGCCATACATTGCAATAAGTGTGAAATTTCGAAGTGGATTTTCAACTTTAAGTTCTGCTATTTTGGCTTTAAAACTTGAAAATTCTCTTCAAATTTTAGACAATTCACACTTTAGTGAAAGAATAGGTGTACGTGTTGTTGCCTGATCAATCAGTTGTTCAGGTTGGACTATATAACACCTACGGCTGACATTTCACAATCTTTCTCTTTATCCAGTATACTGTGTGTAATATGAGGCTACAGAAGAGCACCAATTGCAGAGACATAACGTAACTTCATTAAAAAAATAAACAATGAACATATGCCTTGCAAGTGGTTGTAAACCTTCAAAAACAAAATATATAAATTTCAGAACTGACAAAGCATATTTCCATTTAAATATCACCAACAATTGAAGAGGCCTACATTCTTACAATTCTAACATTTATCTATCCAATGTTGGCTAAACGTTACATATTTTTACTCACAATGAGAGGCTGACACACCCAGCCAATCCTTCTCTTTTATCAAAGCGGCTAAATACAGGACATAGATGGCATTGTGAGTGGACATGTGGGCGTTAAACCATTTCAAAACAATTTAACTTTAAATTTAAGGCAAGGGGGCACATGGGACTTCACCAAATGAATGTTGTTATGTGGTTGAAGTGTCCTTTTAAAATATCACTGTCTCTTGGACATATGTGCTTGCATTGTGGTTTCAAATGGTAGAAGTGTAGGGGACACATTCTTACTCCAATGTTTTCACATCCTACCTACTTCATCTTGTATGTTCTGCACTGGAATTTCTATTTTATGTTCCACAAACCCTGAAGTCTGACTAACATTAAAGACTATTAAAATAGAGTAAAACTAGTTAAATGCTATTAAATTAAAGCCAGCTTGCAACAATTCATTACATAAAACTTTGATATACATAGATGCATAAAACATATTTTAAAGAATGAATCAAAACACATACCTCCCAGTTCTTGCTGTAGACCATGTGCTTGTCGAATAAGATATTTTATTGGAATCTGGTCCATCAGTGCTGAAGAATAAGATTTTGGTTTTCTTTGCATGGCTGCTGTATGTGATAGAAAAAGCAAACTTTTGTTTTTTATTTAAGAGACAGCTCCTGCAGTTTCAATTATTTGGGCCTAAGGTTGCAATTGTATTGTTAATTCAACCAAATTGACAGTTTAGTGAATAGACCGCTAGGAAACATTTTCTGTTTGCCATATCATGTCTGGCAAGCAGAGGGCTAGCATTCATAGTGAAATTATCCTCACATGGGCTTAGCCAAAACAAGGGAACAAAATACTATTTTTTAAACATAAATGCTCTCATCAGAAAGGTATGTACATAAATGACTAAATATATATTTAATAAAAATGGTATCTTGACACAGCTGCTTTCAGAATATCTGTAAACCTATTCAAACATTACATGAAACACATATTTTCATTTGTAAATATATAACATCTGAGTATTATGCTAAATGCATGTATATAGTTTTACAGAAGAAGAGTTAAGCAAACACACAAAGAACACCCTTCAAATCTTAAAAATACCAAATCACATAAAAGCTTAAGCAAAGCTCCATTTCAGTTGCTAAGCTTTACTCACAATCCATCAGTCAAAAGAATTGAAAAGAAGGGAAAACAAAAGGCGTCAAAAAACAGGGTAGAACAATATGGCAGCATTCGGATATTGATATCAAATATAATAAGGCTAGGCAACACGGCAATATAAAAATTTAAATACGAGGCTCTCCTGACAGCTCTGCGCAACATAACGCCCCACCTGTTTGAGGGCACTGAATTAACATTCTACCAAGGTCTCTCAAGGTCCACCTTGCAATGGAGGCGATCACTCCATTCTATCACTACTCAACTGAGAGCAGCTGGTGTCACTTATCGCTGGGCAATGCCGAGATCTCTGGTGGAGAAAGCACCAGCCCTGTTTCGGGCACTGGGACTACCTGCACCAGACAGGGTAGAAGGAGGTCAAAAATGGCACTCACAGCTGGGAACCAACCACCATGGTCCCCTTCATCCCACGTTCACAGCTGACAATGTGAATAGGAACTTGACTAGGAAGCAAGCGGATACTACTTCGAGATGCTGTGGGCTGCATTAAAAGTTTATCATTTAAACGTTGTATTCATCACGTTATTGTTCTGTTGGTTTGAGTTGAAATGAAAGCCTTAGAGGCCTCGTGGATGATGGTGCCGCTTTATAAGATAGGAGCTTGGCAACAAGCACTCCCTCGCGGCCCCCTTGGTTAGGGGCATTACCATGAAGAGCCAGCGCATTCCCGTAATGCATAAACTTGACTAAGGTAAGTTAACCATGCAAAGTTGGACGACACTATAAGCTAGATACCTCTCAGCTACTACTGAGAAGTGATATCTAATAAATCTCAATATTCCACCCTACATATTAACTGGGTTCTTCCCTATTGCCACACAGAAGTCCTAAACCATAATCTAAGGGCGCACTGCCCCCTCAATACTGCAACTCGGGCGGTAACGCTGATACCTAAGCCTTTGGCAAGTTCAATTCACCAGGTCAAATACTCATGCGACCAACTCATCTTAAATAATAACACGAATATAGTATGTAATAGGACGCGACTGTATTGCTTGTTTTCCCCAGAAAAAGTTAAGAAGCTATTCATTTCAAGAGTGCATGACATAATACTGCAAATGTAATGGTGTGCCTATCTACTATTGCACCCTTCCTTTATTTTTTGTACCCTACACCCCATTGCCTCAATAAAAGAAAGAATGACAACAACAACAAAAAATACATGAGGAAAATATATAAAGAAGTGAAAATAAAAATTACACACATTCACATCCGATGGTTTAATTTGCATCTTAAATGGAAAAGAATGAAAGAGAGCAATAGTGAGATTATTTTCTAGGATTACCAACCTAGCGTCTTTGAATTTGCTAAAAGGGCATCCTCATACGATAGGACGTAATACAGCACCAAAAGCTGAGCTGTGATTTTGTGTCGCGGATTAAAACGGGAACTCTCCCCTACCGGTTGGAACACCTTTAATACTTCCTGTTCTGTGATAGGCTTGTTGGTCGCTTCTGGACTGGACTTTGTGGCAGGGGTAATGATAGAGTTTATGTAAACATCAATAAGAGGTAATAACTGCTGATGCAGTGGTGTGGATGTTTCACAAAGCTGTGTGTATATCCAGTCCTGTAATAAACCACAAATAAAGTAAAAACATTTAAAACATTATTGTATAGTAAGAGATTGCTCTAAACATGAAAAAATGTAGTAAAATTAATACAAAACAAAATTTTTGAGTCATAGGCTAAAAGAGGCAAGCAGGTATTGAAAAGGATTTAAAAGACTCAGCTATATTTGTGTAATATGTGCAGTAATTAAATAGAAGAGCTCAGACAAATTTAACTGGTTCAGATGTCATAACAATCACATGGCCTGGAAGGGCCGGACTGGCTACAGGGGGACTGCCTGATAGCGATCGCCAGACAAGTTAAGTATGCCAGGCTGGGGGGGTGCGAGGGGGGCTGCAGACCGTTACAGCGTACTATGGTACTATATTCGATGTTAAAGTCATCCTTTTTCAGGACGGCATAGTACACTGTAACGGTGTTAAGGGACTCAAGAGACACTATAGGCACAAAATAAACTTTATATTAATTTAGCGTAATAAACCCTACTGTTACATTGCTCAGTTATCTGTCATCACTTTGTTTATACAGTCCTAACCACACCTCCCTGCATATGACTTGCACAGCCTTCTTAAACACTTCTTGTAAAGAGAGAGATAAGGTTTAAACTTTCTTAATCGCAGATTCTGTTAAGTCAACAATTTCTTATCTCCTGCTCTGTTAATAGCCTTCTAGACACTAAAGAATCCTCCTGTGTAAAGTTCAATTTACAGAGCAGAAGATTAAAAAACTTCTAAAGTGTGTTTACATCTGATTGAAAATGAAACCTTTTTTCATGCTGGTGGTTAGCCAAAGCCATAGGGGTTGTGGCTAGTGCTCCATAAACAAGATTTTAGCTCCTAAATGGTATAGAAATAAGCAGTGTAACTGCAGGGGTATGATCTTTTAATCAAAACTGCTTCCTTAAGCGAAAGTCGAATTGATGCCTATAGTGTCCCTAAGTTTTTCAAATGAGTTAACATGACATTTTCAAAATATTAAAATATCAAATATACATATATAATTTATAAAAATATATGACTTGGAACAGGGCCTCGCAGCCAACCAAGCAAGTCACAAGAGTACATAGCTCCTGAGGAATCTATTTTAAGTATTTATTTTGATTTACAGCAACAAATTTGCCCTGCTCTAGTAGCCTGAGGAATACCCTACAAATCTTTGCCTGAATTTAACCAGCAACGCAGGACAAATCTGATGCTCTGGAAGTAATCAAAGTGGAGCAGGCGGTCGATCCCCAGCTTTATTTGCAGTTTTTATTTGGGCCCTGTTTTCCTACCTCTGGACCAGTGAGTGTTACCCCAGTACCAATTATATTTTATTTTGATTTACAGCGACAAATTTGTCCTGCTCTAGTAGCCTGAGGAATACCCTACAAATCTTTGCCTGAATTTAACCAGCAACGCAGGACAAATCTGATGCTCTGGAAGTAATCAAAGTGGAGAAGGCGGTCGATCCCCAGCTTTATTTGCAGTTTTTATTTGGGCCCTGTTTTCCTACCTCTGGACCAGTGAGTGTTACCCCAGTACCAATTATATGGTTTACCTTACCTCTTCCAAGCATCTTTGATACTCTGTTTTGTTTGCCGAACGAGGCCTCATTTGCAAGATGGCTACCACCCAGGAACTCACTTATCAGTCCTCCACAAAGGATACACTCCTACAAGCTTTTCACCAGCTCTGCATACAATTTTGGGCTAAACTGCACAGATGCTCTACCAAAGCAATATCTGTGTTATATCCTCAGACACCCCTAGTCAGCTACTGCATTTCTGGGCTTGGAATCTTTGGGGTATCATCCCGTCAGTAGAGCCCACACGCAGAGGGCTTCAGTTCAATGTGATCAAGAGCGCAAGGACGGATCCCGCTACATGTGGCCAGGTCTGTGGGTATTGGTTACAGGCTCTAGTTGTTGCCTGAGGCTGGTGGAGTGGACTTAAGCTGGGGACTGTAGTATTTTCACAGACAGAATAGCTTCGCATTGGAATTGGATGAAGGATGTTGGGGCCTAAGAGCTTTGCACGGTTCAATTTGATTTTCTTAAGCACCTTTTTTAAGCTGTTCAATTTTAGTTTTATTTACTCTACTTACACAGTCAATAATCAGTAGAGTCCAGTCTGGCAGCCTAAATCTTATCTTACCCAGTGGTATTGTGTTAGATGTGTTAAGTTGGGCATATGTATGCAGAGAGTGTACTTTTCCTTTTATTTTGTTATTCTTCATTATATCTCTATATCTAAAAAAACGGTCTTTCCAAATGCCAAAATATTACATCATTTTAAAAGTGTATCCAGAAATATTAAATCAGCTGAAAAGCTTATCCAAAAATATTAACACCAAGGCCAATATTGGCAAAGTCTTATGAAGGTGTTTTGCAGGTTTTAAAAGTGTGTATTACAATTGTCATACAAGCCTTTTTACCTTGATAGACACTTTATGCTTTGTGAATGCTCTGCTTCTCAAAAGCTGGTATATACAGTGAATGGGTAGAAATCCAGTGATGTTAGCACTCAGGTTGCTTGTTACAGGTACTCGAACTGCATGTGCTGTAACAACCTGGAGGGTGGGGGGGGAGAGAGGAAATAGCCCTTCAATATTTACATATAATAGAATAGTTTCAAATGTACAGTCAACCACCAATATACAATCAAAAGGAGTGGGGGCTGGGTGAAAGAAAAAAAACACAACTTGTTCCCACGTAATATAAAATGTGAGTCCTCACCTGTTCTGTAAATATCTCCTGAGTGAAAATTGTCTTCATTCTACTAAGAGAGTTCGATTTAATCACAATCTGGGGGGGAAAGAAAATATGCAGTAGCAATAATAGATAATACATAAATGGGATAGTTACTTTTTTCACTGAAATTGCTAAATTGGTACTCCCCTTCTGCATTATATATATCAATTTTATGCCACTAAAGACAAAATTCATTGGCCGAGCACTCTCAGCCAATCAATTAGTTCATCAGATGAATAGAAGTTATATTGCCAATGCAGAAGGAGGAAATTCAGCTTTGGTGATATCTGTGAGGTGCTGGATTGAGATAAGTGACAGACCATTAGAAGAAAATGCCAGTGAAATCCTGGCACCATAGCCACATCCACTGCTATATTCTGAAAATAAACCTCAGCTTAATGAAGCTGTTGTCTTACAATATAATACATTGAAGAAGCACCTACAAAAGTAATGTTTCCAAATACAGCTGTGCAAGGTTTGAAAGTGTCTATTTTAATTTATTTCAGATAATTTATGGTATTAACGCTTTATACTTTCAGGAATAGATTTTATTCTACCTGTCATGCTTCTCACCGTGACATCCAGACTGCCTTTAAGCCACAGCAGTTCCTATTCCTTGGAGTATTTCTAGCCCTGTTCTGCCTGACTATGTCTGCAGCACTGGGGGCTGAATTTCTTCTGTGGTCATTGCCTGTGCTTCACCTGAGACAGATCAGTAATCAGCTGGGTATATAAGCACTGCTTCGCCCTTGGAACTTTATCAAGTCTTTGATCCTGGTATATGTGTTCAGTTACTGTTTTCAAGTCTCCTGAACTTGTACTCCATATTGACCCAGGCTTCTGACTTTGTTTATCCTGACCTCAGGCATCCTTTGACTTCGGCTATCCCTTGACTATCCTGCTGTTTGTGTCCTTGTCAGTACTGCATTGGAATCACCTTTCCTGCACAGCCCCCGTGCACAGATTCACAGTCCAGGTGGCTTCTTACCTACTCACCTTGGACTTTGTCAATCTGCAAGGGTGAGAAAATATATCTGCGCTACAGACTCCCACCTCAGGTAAAATCCTGACACTACCAAAGTGAACAGTTACCCTTTAAGTGTGCAGTAAGTGTACTCACACCTTTATGTATACATAAAAGGTGGGAGTAACACCGTGAAATGTCTTGAAATATAGGCATTATGAAAAAGGAACAAAAGGAGGAGTATATAGTGTAGTATGTAAAATATAAGTGGGAGTATAAATAAAGAGCTATCAGTTAGCTCTACTTCTGTGCACCTGGGCGGTATAATCCCCACCCAAGTATATGCTGTGTATCTTTTGTATGTAAAATAAACACAATAGACACCAATATAGTGTACGATGTATTAGTACCACAGGCCTGATGAGTAAATAAATATAGGAACACTCACATTTATTCAAGCTGTCTCGTGTCCCCCACGCTATTTACTGGATATTTGAGGACATTTCAGGGTGCTACTCCCATCTTTATGTTTATCCATCCTATCTCTGACTATGTGGTTGTTTGAGATGCCGTCTCCATTTCACAAATACATCTCAAGCATCAGAAACTTACTGTCCCCTTTATTCTTTAGAATATAAATGGACATATGTCACTATCACAAGAGGGAAAAAAAAAACCTGCCTCCCCTATTCTAAAGCATTCATGGACTTTCAGTCACCTTCATTCCAAGAGTAGAACAGACCAAATCAATGATGGCACTGAGCTGATTGCTATGAAAATACATAGCAACCAATAGCAGCATCTCTCCAAATGATGCAGACACACCAGCAGTACTGTAAAAAATACAAAAACAAAAAAATCATTCAGAAGAGAAGGAAAAACGCCTCTTAATATATATATATATACACACACACATACATATATATATACATACACACACACACACACACACACGATCTGTACGATTTAGAATACAATAAAACAAACTCACCTTTCAAAATAAGCCTCCTCTTTTATCATCCAGTTTAACCACAACAACATCAGCTGTTCTTGTTCTGGTGTGCTGCAAAATAACATATGTTGAAAAAAATGTAATTATATATTTTTGGTTGGCAGGGTGGGGGGTACTAATGGCTATTTAACATTTAAACAACATGTAATACTTAACCTTAATATACCAGAGGCACTACAGCTTAAATTTTTTCTGGTGAAAGAACAAGAATGTGCATGCAGTCTTTGCAATGCAAACACTTCAATGTTTACATTGCCTCCTATGAGCACTTCTAGAGGGGCCTTCTGCTTCGGTCCTGCAATCTTTGAGTCAATTTATTTCTATAAGGAAGCATTTCCCAACCGGTGTTCCGTGAAAAAATTAAAAAACACTCAATGCTACCCAATCGTCTTCTCAAACAAAGAAAAGAAAATATGATGACAGCTACTTATCAATTGGATTCACAAGTGCCAAATATTGTCATTTTGAGCAAAACCATGCAGAGTACAAAGATAAATACATTGGCTTTTTTTTTTTAGCAGTGCATATTACTACAAACAGGCCTGAAGTACCCCAACGGCAATCCTCAGGCTTCGTGAAACATTGGATAAGGCATGCACAATTTTTGTTTGTTATGAACAGGGTAGTACAATCACTAGGTAGGTCTATCCAGCCAAAAATCATGGTATAGGCATATATTGGTGAGTTTGGTTAGGAGACTTGCCAGGTTAGGTAACTTACACTAAAATCATAATATAATACAAGACTGTGTCGGTATTAAACATGCTGGACGCACATGAAAGACATTCATCCTCTGTAGATTGCTAAACAAGAGCATGTATCGGGGTATCGGTTGGGTAGTTAGGAGACCTTCCCCTTAGGATTTACAGGAGGTGCATGTACAATTAACAGACTAGATATTAGCCAAACATTCTCATGCTAACTTTATAGGTCTATATTGTTCATGGAGTAGAACAGCTGAGAACAGTTAGCAAAACACTGCCAGTATGACACTATACTATATTATCATCTATCTTTTATATTCTGTATTTTAGGTGTGCAGAGAAGCATATTCAATTAGACAGTGACATTTGGTGTAAAACAAAATAAGCTATTACAAACTGATGATTAGATCTCTGAATGTCTAATTAAGATGTACATTTTAAAAGATAAAATAATACTCAAGAAACACAAGCTAGCCATTTGTGATAGATCTCTAAGATGAGAAATAAAACTGCTGAATCCTGAAAATTTTTACAGGCTGACTGCCAGTAAGGCTAGTTAGACAAGCCGATCTAAAGCAGTGAGTATGAAATTACTTGCTGAGCGTAAACATGCTAGAACTTGCTAAATAAAACAGTCGAGTGATTAACAGTTGTAACCGCTCAGTAGGCCACCCCATGGTAACTGCATCGAGTAGACAAAGATAAAGTGAAAATCAAGGGAAATATATTAAAAAAAACTCCCTGTTAGGAGTTATAAAGATGAGGGGACTTTGCTGTCCATGACTAATGGATGAGAGAAGGAGACAAGATAAAGGACAGTGATTCCCAGAGAGTCCCTTCACAGTTCCCACCCTAACCAATGCCTTCAGGGGGTAGGACACAGTTCGGCATGATGTGGAGATACCGGGAGCTGCTTGTGTTCGTTGCTGACTCATTGTTGTCCCGCCGTCCCAGCCAAGGTACGTGCCGGGGTGCTGTGTGTGGTCCTCTGTGTATTGGATCCTCGCTCTGCTTCTCCCGAAGAGCATGTTGCTCAGCTGCCATGTGGTCTGGGGTTCTCCTCCTCATGTAAGCTTGTGATGCCTTCAAAGCCCAGGCTCGGTGGGTCTTCATTGATGCGTTTCTGCGGGCACTCCATCTTCTCCTGTCAGGGTCCCGGGTCACGTGGATCCTCCGATATCTGGGGACCAGTCTGGGTCAAGGGCATCTAATTAAGCATGCCCCCATGCGGGCCCTAGGCTGGACTGGCTCGGCATCATATGTTTTGGGCATTTCACGCAGTGCAGTGGTGGGAGATATGTTGGAGATGCGCTCCCAGAACTCCTCGCATATTTTGTCGAATTTAATGTTGAAGCACTCCCTCCAGGTCATAGTAGGTATGCTCTCTTGGGGATGGGAGTGTTGTGATGCAGCAGCCATCTTGAGACCGCCATGCGGTCGGTGGCACTGCGGGGAATACTGCTGCAGTGAATAGGTGAGTTTCCCCAGCGGGGACCGGGATATCCCCCACCAGTCCAGAGGTGGGGGGGGGAGGGAGGGTTGCAGGGCTGCTTTACGAGTGGTGTTGGAAGCATGCCCCATGTCGGAAGATCGGCTGCCTCCCCCAGGCACCAGGCTGCATACCAGGCTAGACCACATAGCTGGACGCCACAAAGACTCGATTTTACGGGTCAAATCAGGTACCTGCTTGTTCCTGCTCAGAGCCAGGCTGGATTATAGTTGTGGGAAGTTGCCTCCCAAGCAGAATTGAGCGATACAGGCTTGTATATAGCTGTATTGTGCCGGAGTCTTCACAGAACACGTCCAGCCATCTTGGTTGTCAGACCCCGCCCCCAATACATTGCCTTTTTTAATAAAGCCATTTATTAAAAGGTTTGTGTTACGGCGCAAATTATTTTTTGGGGGGGGTGGGGGGGAGGGCGGGGAGGGGGGTTCCAAGATGTTGGTCTACTATGTCAAAGGGTTCCACGGGAAATATTAATTGGGAACCCCTGCTATAAGGAGATTAATTGGCGTGTAGCAGCAATTTCTGTGCACGTGCACTCTGCCCCAATGCTTCCCTATTAGGAAGCATAGGTTTGGCTGAGATCATCTATAATGATTAGCTCAGCCGGGAGAGGAGTCGCAGCCATGGTAACACTGGCACACAGCGGAATGCAAGGTAAGTAAAGCATATTTGTTTAGTTTCCTAAGGGAAAGCTATCTAATTAGTGGATAAAACTAACATTAGGCATTCATGTTTGTATTTCTAACGCTAGAGTGTTTCTTTAAGGAGAGTATCCAGACCTGTAATGTAATGAACTTGGAATGCAGCCAATAAAAATTGCTTTATTTTAAGGTCCTTAAGTTAAGATGCAGTGTTCCTATTTTAATGATAAATAGTACTGTGCACATAAAAGTGAGCACTGCACGCACTGCAAAGAATTACTTCCACCAGTGTGCTCCAGATACGGAGGGCAAATTCCCCACAAAATTTACTGGAAACATATACAAATGTCCAAGCACACCCAATGGTTTCTTCAAGAGGCAGTCTTTATTTTAAAACAAAATGCAGTGACAACATTTTGGCTCCTATATGAGACTTGTTTCAAAATAAAGACTGCCTTTTAAAGAAACCATTGGGTGTGCCTGGAAGTTTGTATATGATAAATAGAACTGTCGGCTTAAAAAACTAACCTCACTAGAGTGGAGAAAGCCAATAGCATACAGAAAGAGAGAGACACAAAGCGCACGCCTGCAGGAGTAGCTGGTGGACGGCTTGTCATCAGCTGAAGCACTTGCTCTGCTTCTTCATCTGTTGGCCTGTAATTATTAAATAAATATAGTGAATGTATTTGTATTAATAAATCATTAGTGGCCACTGAAAAGAAAAAAAGATAAGGCAGAGGTTAATACGTTAAAGCAAATGGAAATAAGCTAGCTCACATATAATGATAATAAGATACTTAAAATTGTTCCTGTCCTAACACACACAAGTTTTTTTTAAATTGGACTTCATAAAAATGTATCTATATACAATGCAAGCAGAATTGTTCATTTGTGATGGCATAGCCCTGTATGCCAAGAACTGAGAGACAGGGAAGAGCAGATTAACTTTTCTATAGACGAGCATGTGTTTTGCTTTTCTACAGGAATATAGGATTTCGCATTGAAATATGCTGGAAAAAAAAAAAGCCAGATTTAGGGATGAAGTATGATTTGCTTGGAGAAGTGCTCCCAAACAGGGTTAGCCACATTTGAGGAAGGCAAATGTGTGCAGGAACAAGTGGGTTGAATCAGAAATGAAAGATATAATTTATTGCTGTGACCTCATAACAGGCTCTCTTTAACATAGTTTTAAAGCAGCATAACTAATTCAGTCATTATAATTGGCACTTGGCCTCTATAAGTATGTGTTTCTTTATTATTTTGAATGTACTGTTTTTGAATAAAATGTATTTTATTATCTTTATAATAATTAGAAAAATGGGTCAGCTCTCTTTAAGCCAGTTATTCATTTTGACATTTAAAGGACCACTATAGTGCCAGAAAAACCATACTCGTTTTCCTGGCTCTATAGTGCCCTGAGGGTGCCCCCACCCTCAGGGTCCCCCCTCCCGCCGGGCTCTAGGTGGTGGAAGGGGTTAAATCTTATCTTTTTTCCAGCACCTGGCTCCCTCAGCGCAGGGAACTGTCCTCCACCATTCCCCGTCATCGGCTGAATGCGCATGCACGGCAAGAGCCCCGCGCGCATTCAGCCAGTCTCATAGGAAAGCATTAAAAATGCTTTCCTATGGACGCTGGCGTCTTCTCACCGTGAAAATCACAGTGAGAAGCGCGGAAGCGCCTCTAGTGGCTGTTAATGAGACAGCCACTAGAGGCTGGATTAACCCATTTGTAAACATAGCAGTTTCTCTGAAACTGCTATGTTTACAGCAGAAAGGGTTACTCCTAGGTGGACCTGGCACCCAGACCACCTCATTAAGCTGAAGTGGTCTGGGTGCCTATAGTGGTCCTTTAAAGTTCTACTTAGTTTTTTTTCTTGCAAGAAGAGGTTAAAACGAAAAACACTTTTACTTACTTAAGGCCAGCAATTCCCATTAAGGCACAGTATAGACGCAAAAGAGCACTGGCTTTTACTACATGTTCTTCCTTCAGTCCTGAATAAAAAGATGGCCCAGACTGTGCATTAGAGTCTGCTTCTGTACTCTTAGCTGATGGTAGGATCCCCATTAATTCCAACAGAAGCTGCCTTCTCATTTGCCATAGCACCGAACTGCTGTTTTCCTTTCTTCTCTAAAAACGACCACAGGCATGTATTAAAGGCAGAGTAAATACTAGAATATCTATTGTGCACTTAACTATTATAGTAATTAATCTATTATAATAATTAATTATAATTAATTAATCTGCATGCTCGGTGAGAGAAAATTAAACTGCAATTGACTACCATTTTCAACTTTAAAAAAGCCCTCTATTTAGCTAGAACATTATATATAAAAACATTGCATTGTTGCGGAGGATACATTTTCAAGCACAGATCAGATTTGCAGATGATGCATCTACTTTAAAATCACCCCAAACACCTCGATTTCATATTTTTGATAAGTTTTTCAAATTATTTCATATTTTTGGATCAACTTTTAATATGAATTAATATTATGAACAATGTTTTAATACATTATTTTACATATATTTATTGATACTTTAAATCAGCACTGTCACCAGTGACAACTGCAGAGAATTGGCAAAATCTATGGAGAATCCCCAGAGAAACCACAGACCTCAATGCTGTAATTTCAGAGCAGAGCGAGAAAGATAGCAGTGCCCATGAAATACAGGTTCAGGTAAGTAATCTCACCTTTACCTGTGTCCCCCTCCCCTTTACAGAACCAACAACAGCGATGTCACTGTGGGTGGACTTAGCAAATTTGTCAAAGTTCACAGACAGTGATAGTACTGCTTTAATATGTTGAGAAAAAAAATATCCAAAAATATTAAATCATTTGGCAAGTTTATCCAACAATATTCAATCGAGGACTAAGTTGTCAAATATGTGTATATTACAGAGAGTTGCAACTATGGATTAAGTGATAAAAACTTAAATTTCCCCCACCTATAAAGCAATGTCATAGCTTTGGAGTGGTGCACGGTAAAGTATAATGTCACTAGTGACAGGGAAAACAAAGCTGCCAATATCAGAACTACATACGGTGTGCATCGTTCTATAATAATTCAGTTTGTTATTTTTAGTTTCTTTTTTTTTTCAAATTAAATTTTTATTGAGACTCAAGGTTCATATGTAGAAGGCATATAGTTCAATGCTTACATTCTTTCACATAAGATTTTAGATTATAAATCATCAGTAAAGTTACAGTAGTTGAACATCACACGTTCAATATTCTAAAAGTTGTAAACATATACTGGTAAACATAACCCTTTAATGAAATTAGGTACTTTGTTAGTGAACCCAAGTTCAAATATACAGTAACTAGAGTGAGTACATAAGATACAACAAGAAAGGGAAAAAAAGTGGGAGAAGGAATTGCAAATTCTGTGTAGGTACGAAATGCATTGGCAGAACGCTATTGTATCACTTATACATGAATTAAGTGGCACATAAACCATCGCACAACTAGTACATTGGTAAACTCACACTGGGAATACAGCAGAGTGGCACATTGCTCCAACAGTGCTTTTTTTTATAATGCAGTTATTTTTCATTTTGTAAACATAGAGGCATGGATCTACATGCTTACAAAATACATCCAGATTTGTTTATCATGTACTGTTAATAAAGACGGTAATGAAGAAAAAAGAAGAAAAAAAAATCAAAAGTAGCTACTATCTTGCTTGGAAATGAGATATAAAAAATAATTTAGCTTTTTACCAGTTGGCCATTCCGGATAAAAGTTCCAAACCAAGTGCGCACTTTTGCATTTGTCCCAAGAAGCAGTCCACTCACAAAACAAACCATGTTGCTCACTCCATCTTCACCAGCCTCGGTTTTGGTATGGTCCAGTGTTAATGCCACTCCAAGTCCTGGGAGATGACATTCTTCTACCTGAACAATGTTTTGGGAGAAACATATGGTAAACCTGGGAGGTTTTTCCAAAATGATACTAATGCAATCCTGTAAAAGGGACTCACAAAAAAACGGATGTACAGTTCTTCAAGCCTTTCATACATGTTGTTTGTATTTGTAATAAAGACCTATGAAGTCCTAGAAGACACAGCAAGGCAGGCACAAGATAATCAATATTCCTGCTTTTACCCATTTTGCCACTGTCTGACTACTTTTTTATTACTGTCTTATGTATACCTCACTTACCTTGCTTTAAGTATATATTGAATTTATGTTGAATTTCAGTGCAATATATGGGTAGATTTTCACAGATCATCCTAATAAATCTAGTATTATGCAATGATGTAGCTAGGCAGCACAAGATGTATATTCAGAAAACATAAAATTTTGTTCTGTGTTTGATGCATCACTTTGATGTCCAAGATTTATTTGCCCCCTAGTGTCAATGTACTAGTGCTGGCAGAAATCAAAAACTAGTAAAAGTTAACCTTTTCTCTCTTTCCATTATTGGACAGTAGGTTAATAGCTTCTTACCACCATGCCTCGCACTTTGAGGGCCTGAGATGGGTTCATCTTGCAAAGCTGGCGCAATGCTTCAGTTCTACGTCTTCCTCCAACACTCTCCTCATCCTGACGCTCTCCATTCTTTATCAAGCTTCTGCAGACTTAAAATAAGGAGTTTTAATGTATAGAGTACTGTCAGGGACATTTGCAACAATCCATTTACACATGTCCCTGTTAGTTGTATTTGGGAACCTATATAAAGCAAAGCTCTATTTAAATAAATGGGACCGATAAATAATTTGATATTTACAGATGTGCACTGAGCACCGCAGAACAAAGTGTACAAATGCAAACAGAATTCTGCCTGGTTACAAAATCATCTTGTTAATAAAGACAAATAAATAAATAAATACATACCTTCATTAAAACTGTCAGGGACATTTGCAACAAGTAGGCAAAGGAACCAGGCCCCATTTCGAACATGAAGAAGAGCTTCTGCCATGCTGGTGATTGGCAAAAGGGTGTGTAATTCTGCAAATAGCACAGTGGAATGGAAACATTATAAGTCATAAACTAATGGTCTACATAAATGGATTTTCTGCATTAGTTAAAATATCAATAATAAATAACAATGTGGGTTGGCATTACCAGTACACAGAAAGCAGATCTTCTGATTACAAACACACCTTGTAGTAACTTGTTGTAAATATTACCCATTACTATTCTCTGCCAATTACTGAACAATGAAAATAACCTATAAAACTTTAAATGTTCATTAAAGATATGGCAAATAACATCACAATCCAGCTCAATATGAACACAGTCAGGGCACGCACTGCATTGGAGAATGTGTACAACTGAAGAATGGATAGCTACATTGATGTAATGTACGAAATTCGAATCCACGTCATATAACTGAAGAGCCACTTATCTAGACAAATGACTCCTAACTCTTAGTGGACAGCCACAACATGTATTTTTATTTATTCAAGTAAACTATACATATATTTAATATAATCCATAAGCCTCTGAAAGATATGCAGCGTTGCATATTAAAGTGTTGGAAAATACTGCAAAAGCCTTTACAATGTATATTTTGTGACAATGTGTTTTAGTACCTGCTTGTAAGATGCAAAGAACATCTGCTGCTTCCTCCATGTGCACTGGGCTTTCAAATAGTTCACATGACTTGACAAAAAAATCTCCATTGGAGTCTGCAACCTTATAAATTAAAACATGGAACTCTGTATTAAACTCAATAAGGTTTTCAGATTAACCTACTGACAAGTGACAACTAACAGAACACTGGACTATAATCTGATACCCAGACAAGACAGTTTTTGTTGCACTCTAGATGCAATGGAGTACAAATCACATAGTGAATCATATAACACATAGTCCAAAATGTAATACAACTATAATGCACAATAGTTATGCAATAACATATCAGTAGTCCTTGATAAAGGCCTCCTATTTCCGTAACACTGCGGTATGTTATTTTAACCAAAGCCAACAGGTCCAAAAGTCCCATACATACATTTCTAAGTTTATATGCCGTTGGTTACGCTGATTTTGTGCACAAACATGGCATGGCATGAATACCTTATTCATTATGGCCAAGAGTTCACTAAGAACAAGACGCAAGCGTCGAGGAGAGTCACTGTGTTCAAATTCCAGCGTCAGACCATGCTGAAGTTGTGATACCAATATGCTTTCTCCACTGCCACCTCCAAGTTTGTGCCTAGACAAAGATTAACAAATTGTAATTTATTACAATCAAGTTATATGGATACAATAAAAAGAAACACTGAGGCCTCCTCGCATTTTTAAATTGCTTCTAGAACACACAGGCAGCAGTATCTAGAAAACAGAGAGCAATGTTGATAAAAATAAAAAAAATAAAAAAAAGGAAGAACAAATTATTGGGGTTATTCACTAAAATGAAAATTCAAGGTGAATTTCAAGTACAATGCCAAAATGGCTGAACTGGACAATTTCTCTAAGTAGTTATGCTTTTCATTCAACTACTCTGACCTCAAAGTGACACTACAGTCAGCAGAACAGCTTAATATATTTGTTCTGCTGAGTATAGTTAGTCAATTCAGGCATTTTGCAGTAATCACTGTCTTTTTAGAGAAAAGCCAATGTTTACATTATAGCCTAGGGTTACCACTACTGCCCACTCCTGAGATGGCTACTAGAGGTGTTTCCTGGGGCCCTGCCAATCATTTTCTCCACTCTTTGCAATGGAGACACTGAATTATTGCACGAATAATCACCAGAACAAATGCAGCTTATTGTATTTTTCTGTTGAGTAGAATCATTACGTTCAGTTTTTTTGCATAAACACTGTCTTTTCAGAGAAAATGCAGTTGACATTACAGCCTAGTGATACCTCCACTGGCCACTCCTCAGATGGCTATTACAGATGCTTCCTGAGGCAGTGCTGCACACTGTGCAGAACTGCCATTCAGTGTCTCCGCCCTCTGCAAGCAGACACTGAACTCTCCTAATAGAGATGCATTGATTCAATTCATCTCTATGAGGAGATGCTGATTCACTAGGGCTGTGTTTGACTTATACTGGCTCTGCCCCTGATCTTCCCCCTTGAAAGTCTCCACCAATCCTAAGGGAAAGTGTTGTAATTGGCTCACAGAATCACTTCTGAGCATGTCAGCTGTAAGCAAGCAAAAGCAGTGGCAGAAGCATCAGCTGCAGACTTGAATACAAGTAAGATTTTACTATATTTAGGGAGAAAATGGGAGAGGGGCGGCTAGATGGTGGTTTTAACACTATAGGGTCAGGAATATATGTTTGTGTTTCTGACCCTAAAGTGTTTCATCAATATTAAAATGACAGAAACAAAAATGAGCATCACAATGCAGCCTGACTTTAGTCAATAAGTCTGAAGGCTTGCATGGATCCAGCAGCAAAACAGAATCGGAAAAGTGATTCAAGGGGTTTTAACCCTTTATTGGCCGGGGGCCGCAAGGGAGTGGGGAGAGAACTCTAGCGTTAGGAATACAGGTTTGTATTGCAAACACTATAGTATCCCTTTAAGCAATCAACAATGCCGAGAGAGTGTGTATTTTAGAATGGAATAAAAACAAGGAAACGATTTTTCCCTTTTACCAATAACAAACACATTAAAGGAAATCTTATAAAATGCTATTCTCAGTCATGTGCATGGTCCACTTTTGAAGAAAGAAAAATATATATTAAAATGTAAAGTGTGCCTTAAAGGGTTTGATAGGTAAACTGGCGGTTCCATACAATATATACCCCTTATGGATAAAGAAAGTCACACCTGAGCTGTTGCTCTTTGTTGGCATCCTGCTCAAGTGCATGGAAATCCACAGACAGCAAGGCTACAATGGCATTCACAGCTTCCACTCCTGATAGCAGCCGGAGGAGAAGCTTCTTGTCTTGAGCCCAGCTCTGACTTTGATCTGCTGGAGCACATAAGGCCATGCGGACTAAGCAAGGCAGGAGGAGCCTCAATTCAGGATCACTCAAGGCTGCCAATCGTACCACGTCCACCTTCTGCATTGCCTCAAAGGCATAAGGGCTGACATATTGAAGACCAGAGCTCTCACTCATTGTATTCTCACCTAAAAAATAAATAAATAGATAAGTAAATAAACCAAATACAAAACAAATTAAAAATTAAAAAGTAGACGTCATACATAAATATGTGGATAGCAAGGTTAATTTTTAAACGACTGGAGCTTATTTTACTATGTTAGTGCCATAAAGCTAAGTTGAAAGTGAGAGCGATCAAAAATAATTACATATACATAATTACATATAAAGGAGGAGGTGACTGTCAAACTGTGGGAAGCAGTGACTGACTGTCAGAAAAGAGAGGAGCATGAAGGTTACCCAGCTGTAGATAAAACATAAATTTTTCCAACAGCATACATTAATTTTATTTCCCAACTGTGGAGTATTCTATTATACACATGGCGGATCAAAGGTTGATCTCCAGTAGCCAAGGGTAATTAACAAAACTTACATGCTATTCATGACAGACAATATCTTCTCTCTGCACCTTAACCTGTCCAGAGTGAAATCATCAATCCTGATGAACTGTGGTCCAATCTAAAGCTTCTCTACAGAGCATGCACAGCAATCCCCACAATGTGTCCATCAAATAATTCTCACAGAGAAGCACTGAATCCAATGGTTTTCTGTGAGAATCATTTGCCACATTCAACATTATCATGCTGTGTATGAATGACACCATATGTAACCACAATCAAAAATCGAAGATCTTGAAGAAGGAAGCATTTCTAGTGGCGGTCTGGCGGCCACCACAGGCGTGTTTTTGGCCAGATGTAAACATTCCCAATTATCAAAGCATCAATGTTGTTCAAGAAATAGGACTGGGACTTATCATTAATTTGAAGAGGTTTTGGGGCTTAGAGTTTTGTTCTAGGATAACTGTAAACCTATCTTTGGCAACTTCTTTAATAACAGCAAAAAATTTTTTTTTTAAAGATCATTAATCAGGTATTGAAATATTTAAATTTGTGCTTAGGCATCGATAGTCTAAAAATACATCCACTTGTTAACCATAAGGCAATGTATACTTTATTTTAAAGGAACACTCAGAGCTTTAATACATAATAGCAGGAGATAATTGTGCCACACTTGTGACACTATTCTCAAGGAAACATGTTAATGAATATCTGGCTTTACACCAGTGAGCTATACTCAGGGGTTTATTCACTAAACTGGGAATTGTGAATCACAAATGGAAAGATAAAAAGGAGCAAACCAAAATTCCCTTGTCAATTCTACACATTTCCTAGTTTAGTGAATAACCCTATAAAGTCCTATAAAGCGAATTAAACATGTAAATTCCTATTCAAAAAGCAAAGTCACTAAATGTTTATTTTTTTTTATAAAGTCTTAATTATCTAGAAATAAATTGAATGGTGTTAATGTTACTGTAAGAAGCGGATATATTCTTCTTCTTAAAAGTGTAACTTCACGTTCTTTGTACTGTGAATCCCCCCTTTGGCTGTAGGTGGTGTAGGGGATCTTCATTCATTCAAGGGACCGTATAAACATTTCTGGCAGGTCCCTATTAAACATCACATTGAAAAGACCAAGCGCCGATTTCAGTCCCTAGTAAACTCCCAATTATACATCCAGCTCATATACCCCCGTGTAACAGCCCCAGCTCACCGACAGCACCTCGGTGAAGCACGCACTCTCCTGCGGCCTAGCGCTGAGCAGGTCCCCGGACTAGCGTAAGGACAACACCGTCTCCAGCACGCCTGTCCCGCGGCGGCAATGTGAAGGCGAATCCCCGGATCCGGCCTGTTCAGATTCGATTGCTATAGTCATAAAATACAGGAATAAGAAGTATGCATGCAGCCAATACACGACAAACAAGATATTCCGAGCAACAAATTCAGTAGTTAGAGGTATTTTGACCCTCACAGGCTTCCGTAGAATACAATGTGATTAACTCTTTCATTGCCTCCATGTGTAGCTCTGCTAAAACGCCGTGAGCGTTGTGTGCGGAGGAGAATAATGGAGTTCTGTAGTGGTAATAGCAATAGGAGATCTAGTTTGGAACGCATTAGCATTTGACTGCAGTTAGTAAGCCTGTGTTTGTGTTTTGGAATTTTGGACATGTGTTAATTCTACCACAATTGAACTCTTTCTGTTATTACAAAAGGCATAATAACAGGATTGAAAAACATATGAAGGGACCTTATATCCACGGAGACATGTCGCCTAGGTTATATTGTGCTGTCATAGATTGCGTTACTTCCTAACAAGTGGGGCTGAAAGGAGGGGAAATGGTAGCAATAACTAGGTAATGAACACATCTGAAAGAACATATAGGTATACCAAAATTGGTAAGTGATCTACCACAGCCTTCGGTTAGATTCAGAAAATCCACAGATATTACGAAGAGGGAGAGTATAATGAAAAAATAGCAAAATGTTAAATAAATGCCATTTGAGGATAACACCCACATACTTTAAACAAAGTTAAATTATAAAAAATAAAAATTTGTTTAAAAAAACAAACAACAACTCGACTATCAACAACTATCCCAAATATATTAAAATAACTGGGGTGAGGGGTGGGGTTAGTAACACTCCAATGGCCATTTAAGGCAAACCTCTTAGGTGAGTTCTATGTTAACAATTCACCTTGCTTCTTTCAGCTGCAGTTTAAAAAATCTCTAATGAGACAGAAAGGGGTATTTTCTAAACCCCCACAAACTTATTAAAACTTCATAGGCAAAATGGGGTGTTAGGCAGCATTGTTATATGGCTGTGTAATACAAAATTAAATACAAATACAGGCATTTCCCGGTTTACGTACTCCCACTTTACGTTTTCCTGCCTTTACGAACACTGCACGGACCCATTGCCATTTTATTTTGCGCCAGCGCTTCCTGGATTCGGACTGAGGAGCAGAGTTTGTGAAAGGTAAGTAACAATGATAGTGATTGGTAGGAGTGGAGTGCTATGCTGAGCTGTTTCCCTCCTGCCGCTATTTTAGCATGGCCGAGCGGACTGCAGTCTGCAAGAAAGTGCTCACTGCGAGAGCACTTTCTATCAGACCAGGTACTGTACCATAGTGAGCAGGTACAGGACAGGAGGGTGGAGAGACACCTGAAAGGAGGAGACGCACATGGACAGGGAGGGATAGAGACACATTGGCAGGTATAGGAAGGGGGAAGGGAGAGACACATGGGCAGGTACAGGAAGGGAGGGGGGAGTTACAGATGGATGGGGCAGGGAAGGGGAAATGGGACACATGGAGTGACTGGGAGAGGAGAATGAGGCACCTGGAGAGGCGGGAAAGGGGTAGTGAGACACCTGGAGCGGCTGGGGGGGTGAATGAGACACATGGTGTGATGAACCACCTGGCACTCCGACTGAGTGCCTCCACCAATCGATGCTCCTAGTGCTCACCGAGGAATTCCAGCACTCCATGAGACACCATAAGCACTGCATTCCAGTGTTGCAGCTGCGCCGGGGTCTCGTCGTCCTTCACCCACCCTGGACCCAAGACGAGGCTCTAGCTTCCAATGAGCAGACCTCTCCTACTCCCAGAGAGCATAGCAGGAACAGCTCTTATAAGAGCTAATGATTACAAATCCTGGGGAGTCTAGTGATATAGCAATCCCCAGGATAGATACAGCCGTTTCCCCCACACATGAGATACACATAGAAATATAGAATGTGACGGCAGATAAGAACCATTCGGCCCATCTAGTCTGCCCAATTTTCTAAATAATTGTATTAGCCTTATCTTATAGTGAGGATAGCCTTATGCCTATCCCACGGATGCTTAAACTCCTTTACTGTGTTAACCTCTACCACTTCAGCTGGAAGGCTATTCCATGCATACGCTACCCTCTCAGTAAAGTAATACTTCCTGATATTATTTTTAAACTTTTTCCCATCTAATTTAAGACTATGTCCTCTTGTTGTGGTAGTTTTTCTGTCTTCCTTTACTGTGTTGATTCCTTTTATGTATTTAAATGTTTCTATCATATCCCCACTGGTCTCGTCTTTCTTCCAAGCTATACATGTTAAGATCCTTTAACCTTTCTTTGTAAGTTCTATCCTGTAATCCATGTACCAGCATTATCTTGCACTTATCCACATTAAATGTCAGTTGCCACAGCTCTGACCATTTTTCTAGTTTACCTTAAGCAGGGGTTCCCAACCCGTGGTATACATACCCCCAGGGGTACAATCCAGTGCCCCTAGGGTTTAGCCGCCGCACGGGTTGGACACAACAAAGGTACAGGTCCATCAGGTGGCCCATGCACTCAGGGCCACCCAATGGATATATGCCACAAGGGGCCCGGTCATGCATTGTGGCACTTTAATAGCGCGACGAGCCCCTTCTAACTTGCCTAGAGAGCTGGGAGGAAGTAAGTGAAGCGTGCACTTCCTCCCAGCTCAAAGAGAACATGCCACACAAGAGGGAGGGGGAGGAGCAGCAAACCCTTACACCCATCAGCCCCAGCCATGGAAGCCACCCTCCAGCACCTACAAGGTAAGAATCTGAAGGGTGGCTAGAATTGTGACTTGTATATCAGTGTGTGTGTGTATCTGTATGTTTGTCAGTGTGTGTGTATCTGTATGTCTGTCAGTGTGTATGTCTTTCATTGTCTGTATGTGTCAGTGTGTGTGTATCTCAGGCGTGACAAATCCCAGGTGCCAGGTCGCCATGGCGCCTAGGAATTTTGCCTTGACGCCTGGGATATGTGAGCCCTTTACCTCCAAAGCAGACGGTCGGTAAGCTGGGGGATTATGGAGGCGTGCAGCATGCTGAGTGGTCGTAGAGGCGGGCGGGATGCTGGGTGGTCATGGAGGCCGGCGGCTAGCTCTAAGAAAAGGAGGACAGTGAGGGAGCTGTGATGTCCCTGCTCTGCTCCCCACGCTCCGATTAATGACAACGGGGCTGGAATATGACATCATATTCCGGCCCCGGTCTCACTAAGCGGCGTATGGGGGAGCAGAGCAGAGACATCTGAAAAGGAAGTGTTTACTTTGAAAAGTCTGAAGGGACAGGCTATAGACACCAGAACCACTACATTAAGCTGTAATTATCCTGGTGACTAGAGTGTCCATTTAAGAATTGTATTTTAAAATCTAACTTTTTTTAGCTGGCTCCTAGGTTCAAAGCAAATTTGTCAAGCCCTGATGTATCTCTGTGTCAATGTGCATATCTGTATGTGTCAGTGCGTGTCTATGTCTGTCAGTGTGTGTGTGTGTATGTGTATGTCAGTGTGTGTGTGTGTGTGTATCTGTAGCAGTGGCGTACTAATAGAGGGGCGGGGTGGCTGTCCGCCCTCGGTGCCACACATTAGGTGGGGTGCCATTACTGCCATCCACCATTGTAGACCAGGCAGTATTATTTAGTTATGAGGAGGAGGAGCGTGGCGATGCACGGCGGCACGTACCCTCCCCACCCCCACAGTATTTTGAGCAGTAGTGGAAGAATGTGTGGCACTGTGTTGGAAGAGCCTTGTGTTTTGTTTTTAAATGGATATTACTGGCATTAGTTTTTGTGAAGAAGGTGGGGTGCATTGGGTTTTTTGTGAAGAAGTGGGGGTGCATGTTTTTTTTGTAAAAAAGTGGGGGTTCGTTTTTTTGTGGAGAGGGGGTGCATGGGTTTTTCTTTATGAAGAAGGGGGGTGCATGGGTTTTTTACGAAGAAAGAGGTGCCTGGTTCTTTTTTGTGGAGAAGGGGGTGCATGTTTTTTTTGTGGAGAAGGGGGTGCATGGGTTTTTTGTAGAGGGGCAGAGGTTTTGTAGAAGGGGGGGCTTGTTTTTTTCCTGAAGGGACGCAAGGCTTTTGTAGATGGGGCAGGGGTTTAGTGTTAGGGGGTTGGACAGTGTTTTTGTAGAAGGGGGGCTGTGGCAGTTTTTTTCAGAAGGGGCTGGGCAGGGGTTTTATGAAGGGGGGGGCTGGACAGGAGTTTTGTAAAAGTATGGGGCAGGGGTTTTTGTGAAGGGGGCTGGACGGGGTTTTTGTGAAGGAGGGGTGCAGGGTTTTTTAGAAGAGGGCAAGGGTTTTGTATTTCAAGTTTTATATTCTGAACCTGTAAAAAACAAAATTGTGGGTGTTTCTTGCATTTTAAAGTGGGTGGGGGGACTTGGAGGGGGTGCCAAATTCAGGATCCGCACCGTGTGTCAAATGCTCTTGGTGCCTTTCAGTGTGTGTGTATCTGTATGTGCGTCAGCAGTAGCGTACTAATAGAGGAGTGGGGGGGGGCAGTCCGCCCTGGGTGCCACTCATTAGGTGGGGTGCCATTACTGCCATCCACCCTGGAGGCGCACGGTGGCACGTAACACCATGCTACCACCAGTGGCGGCTACAGAGCATAGAACAGCAAGCTGTGAGTGTCTGCTTGCTAATTTTGTGTGTTTTTTTTTTTGTTTTTTTTTAATGGATATTACTGGCATGGGGTTTTGTGAAGAAGGTGGGGTTCAGGCCCGGACTGGCCATCCGGCATACCGGGCAAATGCCCGGTGGGCCGCGATTGCCGTGGGGCCGAGGCCAGCAGGGGAGATCTCAGAATCTCCCCTGCCAGCCCCTGCAGGGCCAGCGCTATCCGAACGCCAGCCCTGCTGTGTGCCTCCATGGGCCGGTGAGGAGATCAAAGATCTCCCTCACCAGCCCACAGGCAATTATAACCGGCCGCCAGCTGGGGAGGGAGGAGAGGACCAGCGGAGCTCTAACCAGCAGCTCCGCCGGGTCCTCTCGCGGGATTCTGAGTGTTCACACTCACCACTGGACCACCAGGGGAGGATGGCAGCACGGTCCCCCTCATGGCACCCCAGGCAGAACGGCTCCCCCTCATTGCAGAACAGCTCCCCCCCCCCAGGCTAAAGGTAAGAAGGGAGGAGGGGATATAACATTTTAAAAATTATTAATAAAAAATATATTTAAATAAATTCACACTCACACTCAGACACACACAGTGCACCCCCAGACACACACACAGCACCCCCAGACACACACGCAGCACCCATGCAGCACCCTCAGACACACGCAGCACCCCCAAACAGACACTGCTCCCTCAGAGAGACAGCACCCACACACAGCACACTCCCACACATATAATAAATAAAATAACCTTCAGTGAGTTAACAGACAAAAAAAAATGTGACGGCAGATAAAAACACCCTCACACACAGCCCCCCTCTTACACACACCACCCCTCACACACATACACACACTGCGCCCCTCACACATACAATACGTCCAAATATATATACACACACTACAGCACCCCTCACACGGCACCACTACACACATTATGCTCCAGATACACGCTAGATCCTTTACCCTATATGCACTCTTAATCCTCTATACACACACACACACACATACAATCTCCTATACACACTCTGAGTCCTTTACACACTAGATCTCCTACACACACACACTACCCCTAGCCACACATATTACACCACAAACACAAATGAAATTGACCTATTTACACAATACCACACCACACTCTACACACACGCAATCCCACAAGCAGGCTCCAAACACATGCACCATACGCTTTCCTGGCCCTTTTGTCCTCTGATATCCCACTTGTGGAGACACCAGAGACAATTTAAAAGCAAACACAGCGCAAGCATGTTATTAAATTTGCTTGCGCTGCGCAGAACAAATACAGGGCCTTTTTCTAATGCTAGAGCTCTTCAGCGGGGCTCTTCCCATTGAACCAACATGCTCACTTTAAGAGGGGGCGTGCTTGTCTCTAGCCCCGCCCCCTACTTAGGGGGCCGCTCTGATTGAAAAATGCCCGGGCCTAATTTTTTTCCCAGTCCGGCCCTGGTGGGGTTCATTGGGTTTTTGTAAAGAAGTGGGGGTTCGTGGGTTTTTTGTGAAGAAGGGGAGGTGCATGGGTTTCTTTTTGTGAAGAACGGGGGATTGGGTTTTTTTTGTGTAGGGGGTGCATGTGCTTTTTTGTGAAGGAGGGTGCATGGGTTTTTGGTAGAGGGGGCAGAGGTTTTGTAGAAGGGGGTTGTTTTTTTCTGAAGGGAGGCAGGGCTTTTGTAGATGGTGGGCAGCCTTTTAGTATTAGGGGGGTTGGACAATGTTTTTGTAGAATGGGGTTGTAACGGATCACCTGGCACCCTGACTGGGTACCTCCGTTGATGGATGCTCCTAGTGCTTCCCGAGGGCTCCAAGCACTCCACCTGACCCCATAAGCAACGCAGACCCCACAAACCGCCGCTGCTGGTTGGGGTCTCGCCGTCTCCTATCCACCCTGGACCTACGACAAGGCTACAGTGGGTAACCTCTCTTCCTTCAGAGAGCGAAGCAGGAACAAGCTTTTAAAAGAGCTTAGTGATTATAGCCAGGGGAGTATACAGCGTATAGCAATCCCCAGTGTAGATGGAGCCTTTTCCCCCACACATGAGACGAGGCAGTCTGAGGGTTTGTCTCTTTTATACAGGTTTTCCCACAAGGTTACCACCCACCCACAGAACTCAGCAGTCTGAGGGTTTGTCTCTTTTATACAGGTTTTCTCACAAGGTTACCACCCACGTGGACCTTGTGGAACACAGGATACAAAGTTACAAAGCCAATCACAGTTAGACACTCCCAGATAATGTACACAAGCCCTCCCCTCTGCCTGTGATACAATTAACAAACACAATGGACTAACTCAATTACCAACGGGCAGAAAACACACATTTTTCACAAAACACCACATATCCCCACAAATTATACATCCCTGATCTGGGTGAACAACATATCCAAAAATCACCCAGATCAGAGCAGGGGTTCAAAAGTTTTGTGGAAGTCCTATTTGACTGACCGCAAGCATGGTTTTCATGCCCAAAATAGTTCCACAGATTTAGGCTGTGCAGCCGGTCTATCTTCTCCTCTATCCTGGAGATAATTGGCTTAAGTGGCTGTGGTAACTTTAATTATCTCCAGGTACAGGAAATATCTCTAAGTCAGAAACTGTTACAAAAACCACATAAAAATACATAACTCATATAACACAATGTTTAACCTATATGTCCAACATATCGGCAGATAGCTTGGATCTGAGCGCTCCATATGTCCGAGAAGCGCTCAGATCCATGGGGTTAAACAATAGCAAGGGCTGACGAGAGATTGAGGAGGGACAAAGCAGCCAATTCCAACTGGTCTGGCCGTGTCCCTGGGACAACGCCCTGGTGGAGAACAATAGGACAGGAAAAAGGGGGAGGGGAAGAGGCACATTTTCCCATGGATTTAAAGGGGTAGACAAAGTGTTTTAAAATCCAATAAGCCCAAATAGACGTTTTAGCATGTCTTTTTGCAGGGCCCATAGTCTTTGGGCAAAAGGCTGGCCATTAGTCCTCTCCAAAACCCAGTGGCGAGGTTATTTTTGGCACAGGCGGCTGTGCCAGGTTTTTTCTAAAGGGGTACTGGGGTTTTGTAGAAGAGGTGTTTTGTAGAAGTAGGGGGCAGGAATTTTGTAGAAGTTGGGGGCAAGGCGTGTTTTTTGTGAAGGAGGGATGCAGGTTTCTTTAGAAGAGAGCAGGGGTTTTGTATTTCAAGGTTTATATTCTTGAACCTGTTAAAAACAAAATTGTGGGTGTTTTTTGCATTTTAAAGTGGGTGGGGGGAGTTGGAGGGGTTGCCAAATACAATGGATTCGCCCCGTGTGCCAAATACAATGGATTTGACCCGGGTGCCAAATGCTCTTGGTGCGCCTCTATGTCTCAGTGTGCGTCAGTGTATCTGTGTTTCTGTATGTGTCCCATTGTTTGTAGCTGTGTGTCTGTATATCTTTATGTGTGTCAATGTGGGTGTCTGTATATCTGGATGTGTGTCAGTGTGCAATTGTATGTGTCTGTGTTTGCGTCTGTGTGTTTGCAACTGTATGTGTGTCAGTGTTTGTATCTGTGTCTGTATTTGCATGTATGGAAGTGTGTGTGTCTGTACATCTGTATGTGTCAGTATGTGTATCTATGTGTGTGTATCTGTATGTGCATCAGTGTGTGTCTGTACATCTGTGTCTGCGTATCTGGCATGGAAGTGTGTGTCTGTACATCTGTATGTGTCAGTATGTGTATCTGTGCCACTGTTTGTATCTGTATCTGCGTTTGTGTTTCAGTGTTCGTATTTGTGTATCTGCATATGTCAGTATGTGTATCAGTGTGTCTTAGCAACTATATGTGTATCTTTGCACCTGTATGTGTGTCAGTATTTGCATCTGTGTATCTACATGTGTCATTGTGTGTGTCTGTGTATCTGCATGTGTGTCAGTGTTTGTAACTGTGTCTGTATCTGTATGTGTCAGTGTTTGTAACTGTGTCTGTATCTGTATGTGTCAGTGTTTGTATCTATGTATCCTAATGTGTTGGTGCGTGTATCAGTGTGTCTGTGCAACTGTATGTCTGTCAGTTTTGGATCTGTGCATCTGCATGTGTATCAATGTGTCTGTGCATCTGCATGCATTTCAGTGTTTGTACCTGTACATCTGTATGTGTGCCAGTGTGTATATCTGTACATCTGTATGTGTTCCAGTGTATGTATTTGTATCTGTATTTGTGTCAATGTTTGTATTTGTGTGTCTATAAATCTGTATGCGTGTCTGCATTTGTGGCAGTGTGTATCTGTACATCTGTATGTGTGTCAGTGTGTGTGCATCAGTGTGCATTTGTAACTGCATGTGTGTCTGTATATCTACATGTCATCATGTGAGTCTATCTGCATGTGTGTCAGTGTGTGTATCTGAATGTGTGTTTGTATCTGTACATGTGTATATGTGTGAGTGTGTGTGTCTGTGTATTTCTGTGTGTCTGTGTATCTGCATGTGTGTCATTGTATTTGTGTGGCTGTGTATTGTTATGTTAATGTTTATATCTGTATGTGTGGCAGGATATGTATCGGTGTGTCTGTGCAACTGAATGTGTGGCAGTGTTTTGAATCTGTGTATCTGCATGTTTGTCAGTATGTGTATCAGTGTGTCTGTGCATCTGTATGTGTCAGTGTTTGTATCTGCATGCGTGTGAGTGTTTGTATCTGTATCTGTGTGAGTGTCATTGCTTGGATCTGTGTAGTCTGTACATCTGTATGTGTGTCAGTGTGTATTTGTGTGTCTGTGCAACTGTATGTGTGTCAGTGTTTGTAACTATGTATCTGTCCATCAGTATAATTGTTTGTATCTGTGTCTTTGTGTGATTTTCTGTATATGTATTTGCATGTGTGTCAGTGTGTGTATCTGTATCTCTGTGAGTGTGCCATATCTTGGATTTGTGCGTCTGTACATCTGTATGTGTGTCAGTGTGCATATCAGTGTCTTTGTGTGAGTTTGTGTGTTCATGTCTGTTTGTATCTGTGTATCTGCACATGTGTCCGTGTAACTGTCTGTGTATCTACATTTGTGTCAGTGTGTCTATATGTAAAGTGAGAAGCAGTGGGAGCCTGGGGTAGAGGAGCATCAGAGAAAGCATGGGGCAGAGGATTAGCAGAGAGAGTGTGGGACAGAGGATTAGCAGAGAGAGCCTGGGACAGAGGAGGACCATTGAGAGCCTGGGACAGAGGAGGACCATTGAGAGCCTGGGACAGAGGAGGACCATTGAGAGCCTGGGACAGAGGAGGACCATTGAGAGCCTGGGACAGAGGAGGACCATTGAGAGCCTGGGGCAGAGGACCATTGAGAGCCTGGGGCAGAGGAGGACCATTGAGAGCCTGGGGCAGAGGAGGACCATTGAGAGCCTGGGGCAGAGGAGAAGCAGGGAGTGCCTGGGGCAGAGGAGAAGCAGGGAGTGCATGGAGCAGAGGGAGCATGGGACAGAGGAGAAGCAGAGGGAGCCTGGGATAGAAAAACTGGGGAGTCTGGAGCATATACATTTGAAATACCAGCAACTATTGTAATAATAAAAATGTCACTAATATGAGGGGTACAATTTATGGAAATGGGCTGCCAAGGGGTACTCAAGTGAAAAAATGTTGGAAACCACGGACCTAAATCATTTGCCATTTGGCTTATCCCTCCTGGAATATCAACCCTGTTATATATCTATCTATAATCAGCAAAAAGACATACCTTACCATCAATACCTTCTGCAATATTACTAATAAAAATATTAAAGAGAATGGGTCCTTTATCTTTTATTATTGCCTCTAGTTTGTATGTTGGGGTAGTACCTTGACACAGGTAAACCGAATAACATTGATTGGATTGTTACAATGGCACCCGTCAAGTAGTGATATATATGAGGCAGCAAGTGAACAGTCAGTTCTTGAATTTCATTTGTTGGAAGCAGGAAAAATGGGCAAGCAAAAAGATCTGAGTGACTTTGACAAGGGCCAAATAGTGATGGCTAGGAGTATAGGTCACAGCATCTCCAGAAGAGAGAGTCTTGTTCGGTGTTTCCGGTATAACTGGCGAACCGCAATCAGACTTTTTCATATATGAGCATTTGAGGAACACCAGATGAGGCAGTCTACTATTCGCATTGGACGCAGAAAAAGCCTTTGACTGCCTCAGATGGCAGTTTTTAAATCAAGCAATGCTCTCATATGGATTCCCTCCTCAATTTCTAATGCAGTTTTTTGCATTATACAGTGACCCAAGAGCCCAGGTCCTCCAGGTGGGTTTCCTATCTTTGGCATTTAATATCACCAATGGTACATGCCAAGGATGACCACTGTCCCCACTACTCTTTGTTCTAGCTTTGGAACCGCTGATAAATGCAATTAAAACACATCCTGAAATTAAAGGAATTGAAATGTGTAAAAGGGAAATTGAAGTTAGTTGCGGGCGACATATTACTATACATCAATGATGCACTCACTTCCCTACCACCGCTCATGGAATTAATACGAGAATATGGTCTACAATCCTACTACTCGCTAAACACCTCCAAAACACAGGCACTTAGCATTGGGATAGAGAAGTCTGTTCTGACCACTCTACGCAACACATACCCATTTGAATGGAGAACAGATAACCTCAAATATCTAGGCGGTACCTTTACAAAACAAACTAAAAACCTATTTTCCGCAAACATGGAATGATTGCAAACACCTATTACACAAATGGGGTCCACTGTTCCTTACATGAACAGAAAGAATAATAGCCTGTCCATACTCCTGAGACTCCAATATTTATTTTGCACGTTGCCACTTCCCCTCCCCATGTCATTTTTTTTAAAACCGTACAAAAAGACCTACTGAAATTTATTTGGGCTGGAGGGAAACCTAGAATAGCACAGAAGGTCCTACTGGCACCGCTACACGAGGGAGGATTAGCAGTCCCCAAAATCAAAAAGTACCACCATGCATTAATCCTGGCCTCGACCCTTCCACACTTCCAAAACAAAACCTCACCACAATGGGTCTCCCTAGACAGGAGCATACTTGACCCATATGAACTCTCCGGCCTGTAACTAAAATAACCTCAGGACAAATAGAACTGGCTGTATGTACATGGGATATGTATAGGAATACTCTTGGTACGTCTAGCGGCCTGTCCCTAGCAACACCTCTAATAGCCCTCCCTCTCTGCATTCCCATGTTTGACTCCAAACCATGGTCAGATTGTGGAATAAAGTTCCTACCCAACCTATATTCCAATATGAAACTCTTAGACTTTACTTCGTTAAGAACCAAGTATGGCCTTCCAGCAGCTTCACACTACTCCTATATGCAATTAAAATCCTTCCTGGCACAAAACACCACACGCGATCCAACCTTGGTTGCAAACAGACATACCCTTACACTCTGGGAATCGATATGTATCAATGGCATATTATCACATTCTTGTAAACCTATTTGTGTTACAAATCCCTAGTAGAGTTTCTACCTTTTGCAAGCTCGAAGCCAGCACATCAATGGTCCAGAGATTTAGGGCAAGAGTTTACCCACACCAGATGAAAAGAGATCCCTTTGACTTCTAAAAAAACTTATCAAATCTGCCCCCCTTCTGGAGCAGCAGCGGAAAATTATCTATAGATGGTACATGGTACCTACTTGCATACACACAATCTTCCCAACCTCCTCCCCGATATGCTGGAGATGTCCGCTCCAGAGAGGTACAGTAATGCATATATGGTGGGAGAGCGAACGCATATCACCACTGTGGACTACGATCCATAAAACTCCTATTAGAAATCACAAAGTATCTCTCCCGTTCCAACCACACCTATTTCTCCTACCAAATTTGCCAACTCCCAAGCTTAACAGCTAGAGCTTAGAAGTCATAAACAGCCCCTTCTCTCTCCAACTTGTTGTTAGAGATAGACAAACAACATATATATGAAACTTTATTTTATATTAACCCCCCCCCAACCACCTTCAAAACAAGCGGTTGATGCTTGGACAGAGTCGAACACATGAAGATCAGGAAAACCCACAATACTGTGTAATGGAGATGGCTAAATTAAATCTGTCTACTCCCGCAGGTCTGGTGGAAAATTATGTAACTGATTTGTGTCAAAGGTTGTTATAATGAGCCAGAATTAAGTAGAAGCTATAAGATGCATTTTACGATATAAGTAATAACGTTTTTGTGAACAATGCATTTTCAACCTACTGTATACTTGAAGAACTGGCTCCGGATTGAGCAACCAGAATTGGGATGTAACAACTGTATTCGACTGTATTTGGAATGGATATGCAAATACCACTGTATCTTCCCATGATGACCCTGTCCTCCATCTAAAGCACCTTCAATGGGGATGTGTGCCTGAACTGGACTATGGAGCAATGGAAGTAGGTTGCCTGGTCTGATGAATCACTTTTTCTTTTAGATCAGCTTAATAGCCTGGTACATGTGTGTAATTTACCTGGGGACGAGATGGCTGCAGTATGCACTATGGGAAGAAGGCAGGCTGGCTGAGGCAGTGTTTTGCTCTTTGCAATGTGCTGCTGGGAAACCTAGGGTCCTGGCATTCATGTGGATATTTCATTGAAATGTACCACTTGCTTAGATATGCTTGCAGAGCACGTACTTCCATTTATAGCAATGGTGTACCCTAATGGCCTCTTTTAGCAGGATAATGAACCCTGCCTCACTGCAGAAATTGTTCAGGAATTCTATTGAGGACATAACAAAGAGTTCAAGTTAAAAAAATCACCAAGAGAAACAGATAAACTTAAAGGTTTGCAGGTATAACCATTAAACCCTCAGTTTTTCTCGAGTGTAGCGCTCCGTGTTGTTTTAAAGAATAGATTAGTGAATATATATATAGTGCTTCTTATGCACTTACCCTCTATGTCACACTTGTATTACATAGAGAAAAAAAAGGAAAAAAAGAAAGAAATACAAATAATCGTGCAGTATATCAAAATAATTTCAGTGATTTTGTGAGTTTTTAAGTTTAAGTCCACTCACATTTTTTTAGAGCCTTTTACAGTTTTAAGGCTCTAAACTTCCTGGCGTCTGTGTCTTTTCCGGGTAGAACACACGACCCTTCTCTCACGATATGCACATATATGTTTTCCTCCACATTGGACAGAGAAAAGATAGATAATACAATCTAGGTGTAGTATTTTAAGTATTGAGCATCTGTGGGATGTGCTGGCAGGTCCGGCGCTTCCATTTGACAAATAAGGCATTCGCCTGGGGCGCTGACCTACAGGGGGCGCCCACCGGGAGGTTTCCTGGTGGGCTGCCCTACTGCTGTCTGGGGGCTGAAAAGTTGGGCGAGCGGCCAATTAGCCACCACCCAGTGCAGCCATTCAGCTGCTGGGCTCCTCTCTGCCAATTGCCTGCTCAGGGATCAGGGTTTACTGTAACCTCAGCACCCGAGCAGAGCACACTGCTTCCTGCAGGCAGGGGAAGCCGAGACATGACTTAGTATCCTGGCTGCCCTTTGCCTGTGAACACCGGAAGTTCTCTGAAGGGAGTACATGGCTTTCCTGCTCCTCCAGCAGAAAAAAAGAGCAAGTTCCTACAGGCTGGATCCCTTCTCCTCATCACAGCACCCAGGTATGGCCTATCTGGAGACTAAGGGGGACTGTTTATTCTGTGCCTGGTTGTAAATTGGTGCCTGTGTGTTAAATTGCTGTGTTTGTGTGCGTGTAAATAAAGTGTTACTTTATGTAGAGTGGTGTGACACTGTGTGTGTTAGTAAGTGTGCAAGAGACATTTTGTGTGTTAGTGAGTGTGCAAGTGACAATGTGTGTGCAAGTGACATTGTGAGTGTGACACTGTATGTTAGTGAGTGTGTGTCAGGAATTTTATTTGTTTATTTCTGGCCCTTTAAGACGGCATGAAAGTACACACCCCTTGGTTATTTAAACTCCAATGTCCAATACCTCAGTGCACAATTAATGTGTTAATCTGACTGATTGCATCAACTTCCTTCCTAATCATTAGGATCACCGGACCCCTTCTGAATCTCCTCTTCATACTACTTCTATATCTTTGATTATCTGGTTAACTAATTCGGACTGGCCTTGACTCTGCTTTTGGAATTTCTTTCAATACTACTTGATCTCCTATTGAACGACCTCGGACTGGACTATAACACTGCCTCTGGATTACTCCCCTCTAACTTACTTATTGCAACTGTTACCGAAACCGGACTGGATAAAGGACATTGCTTATGGACTAACCCTGTACACATCACGTAAACTTCTATTTTCAAGGACTGTCGGTTTTTTCTCTCTGCTTTGCTGCCACATCAGTTTGCAGTGCTGAAACTGCCTCAAAATAAAAAGTGAGTGGTTCTTATTTTTTTATTTGTTAAAGAATAAACATGACGGTGTGTGTGTGTGTGTGTGTGTTGGTGAGAGTGCGTAAGTGACAATAGACAACATAGGTCGACTCGCAGGTGAAATAGTTCTTTAAATAATATGAATGACCTGTTTGGGGATTAAATAATTTGTCACCTTTAATGATGGAATTACAGGAACTACAATTATGGCATGGAAATGTACCGTATACTGGAGTGGATAGAAATCTTTGGGTTTTTAATTTCAAAGGGCCAATATCCGCTTGAACTAATGTGTTCCTAAAATTCTGCGGTCTTTTGTATGAGCAAAGAGCAAATTCCTGAATATCCGGGAAAGATCTTTTTGGGATACCCCAGTGTTTGCAGGCAATATGTGCCACTTTGTTACTGTGTAAATTAAATGTAGATACAAAAGGTGTTCAAGTCTTTTTATTAGGTGGTTTTTGTTTGAGTGTCAAAAAGGAGTCTCTAAGACAAGGGAGGCCCTGTCACATAGACGAGGAGACCACCTCAACTAAATAGGGCACCCCGAAGAGGGGAGGGGGTGAGAGAGGCGGATCATAGGACCCGGGCTGTCACGCGACACTCTCACAAACAGGCACGAGTAACGGAGACATATACACACACGCAACATTCACAAGGGACTTGTGGGACTGACGTAATCGCGGGCATACGAGCCCAACAGAACATGCAACTGTATAAAAATATATAAGAAAGAGTGTAAATGCTGAAGGGCAAGACACAGAAAGGGACCAGCCAATATGTTTGTCACGTTTGTCATTTTTCACAGTTCTATATTCATGGTTAAATTAATGGAGACCTGCGAGTCTCAATGTGCTGGCATTTGCTCTGTAAACACACCGCAAGACAACAATGGAGACCTGCGAGTCTCAATGCTATGCCTTTTT